TTTGTCAATTCAGACGTGGCATGCCATCATTGGGGTGTCTTTGTTACCTTTATCAAATTTTGAGGAGTGTTATTGTTAAAAAAGGCTCAACTTGTATATGGTTGTCATTATGACAAACTTCAAGGGGTGTCATTGTAATTAATCCAAAAAAAAAAAAAAAGACCACTTGTAGAAGAAAAAAGTAAGGAGTGGGTGAGAATATTGAAATCCAATAATTGAGTGGCCGAGTGGGCATTCTCTACCGTTGTATATTATTTTCTTCAATTATTATGGTTAAAAAAACATTTCCGTGTGCTTGTTTGTGTCTTGCTTCTGTAATGTCAAATGAAGGGGTAAAATTTTCAACAAATTGAATGATAGTTTGAAACCACTATAAAAAAAAAATAAAAAAAGTTGAAATATGAAAAGAAAAAAAATTGAATTTCAAATAAGTTTATATGTACATGCAAAAAGGTATATAAAGTATATATTGTATAAATGTATTGATTTCTCATTATGCATTGGTATATTCAACATAGAAAGAATATTGGAAAACCAAAAAAGAAAAAAAATAGTATTAGGACTTTGAAGAATGAAAAACTAGCGAACTTCATAAAACTGATAAGAGGTTTTGGGCCCGTGTTTCTCCTTTGGTACTTTCCAAGTCTATGCTTTGTTATTTAGCATTGGGTTATATCTTATTGTATTGGACAAAAAAATAAAAATTATACAATACAAGAGGTTGTTACTGGGTTGGGCTTAAAATAAACTAAATAAATTTTTTCTGTAACTGGGTTGGGTTAATGTAATATTAGAAGAGGGCTGATATTTTAATTCTGTTAGAGTGGGCTAATCTTAACTACTAAATGTAAGTTGGATTGGCCTAGATACTTGGATGGTCAAGTTTGGGCTCATGTACATTTTAAACTGGTGGGCCATTTTACTATTAAAATTTTTTGGCCCCTCTCTCCGCGTAAGGGCAATGACCCATGTTTTAGGTTTTTTTCCTTTAAAATCTACTTGCAATGTTGTATTCTTAGAATTACATCTATCATATATATCAGTAATATCCATTTTTCCCCAACTTGCATTCTCATTCCATTTGATTTATCAAATGGAAGTAAGTAACTTGGCTCAAGTAAGTAACTCATTTATATAATCGGTTCTTAAAAACCGTCCCCAAACAGGGCGGGGACAGGATGGGAAATTTTGTCAGATGGGAAATTTTGTCATCCTTACGCTTGTGTCTCAGGAAGTAACTTGTTTAAGATTCAACTCTTCTTGAATGGAAATAATATGCTCTTAGCAAGTATATGAAAGAAGCTCTAAAACTAGGTTAGGCATTGCTTTTGAAGCACTAATTCTATATCATGCATTGTTCATTCTATATAGTAATTACATTGTTTAGTTCAATGCTTTACCCATTTTTTTTAGAATCTCCTACAAAAATTACCAATCCTCATAAACTTGCAGGCTTAATATAATACACTTGGGAAATGGTGAAAAACACTAAAGAAATGATTAAAATGTGCTAATAATGTCAAAGTTTGATGGAATGGAAATCATGAAACAGTCAAAAATTGGCTGTATATGGAAGACATTTTGTACTTTGAATTAGGAAGTTTCCTTTGGGAAGATACCCCATAAAACAAGGAATACCCAACAAATCCTCTCTTCTCTCCATTAATTACACAAGAACATGACCACAAGGAAAACATACAAACATTTCCAGCTAAATTTTTGAAAACAATGATGAAGTTCAGACTCCACAATTTATAGCTTTGAGATAAGAGAGCAGTTGGAGTTGGATGTCCTCTCTCTCACATTACTTCTTGTTACCATTATATGTTTGTTTGTTCATTTTGTTGACATTGTATCAATGTTTTTCTTAGCAGAGAGAATTTCAATGTTAGTTTAGACTTTAATATATATACAAATGATTTGTTTAAATCTGCTTGACTTTTGTGTCTGTAGCATGAAATTTATAATATGATTGATGTTAGTTAATTGACATCAATACCTTATATCACATGTAAAAATTACAAACATGACAAATTCCAAATAAATTAGAGCCCTTAAGTGATATATATTTCAGCACTACACAAACAACATTCATTAAGGCTCTATGATCACTCCATCATCATCATCATTTGTGGGCAAGATCTTATGTCACACACGTGTGAGTATTGCGGACATTTATGTGCAGTAGCTGTCATATGTGTAAAAATTGTGGACTCTCAGAGGGAGTACAATACAAATGTTGTACTACGCGTGTTTAGAAAAAAGGTGGAAAAATCAAAAGGAAAATGAAAAGTAAAAATAAGAATCGAAAGAATGGTTTCTCATCTTTCTTTTTCAATATATGTATTTTTTCATTTCTTTCAATCATTTTTATTTAAGTAAAACTGTGTTTTAAAATGCATTAAAATTTTGTTTTACAACATTTATCAAAGGGTTGCAAGCGATAAACACCAATATGGTATAGAAATAGAGTATATAACCAACCCCCTATAGATACTTAAAAGTCTCTGATCTTTATTTTAATGCAAACAAGATTCTGTTGTCAATATAGTGATTAAAAGACTAAAGTGCAGTTATGTATCTTTCAAACAAAAAAAAAAAAAAAAAGGGTGAAAGTAAAATGATCAAAATACCCTAACCAAAAACGAAATGGTGTGTTTATATGTAAAATGGTATAAGGGTATTTTGGGAAGACCAAAAGGCCAATTTAGAGAATTTGTTACTTAATATAGGTATGTAGAGCGCACATGACTACTTAAATGTGATTTTCTGACATAGTATACGAATTAACCTTTATTTGCTAATTTTTTAAAACTTAACGGGCTTATATACCCAAAATAAAAGTTAGGGATGTTATTTATCCAAATTTTAAATATTAGAGGTATTTATCTCACTTTACCCTGATCAAATAAAAAAGTTAAATTTGTTTGATTCATTTCTGTGATGATATTTTTCTGCTCTAAAAAAATAAAAACAATTCAAAATTCATTTGATTAATAATTTTCAGAAATCTATCATCTCAAAACAGGGTTAAAAATTAAATGGACAGATTTCACATAGTTCTCTAAAAATTATATCCTGTTTTTAGAATTCTTGAAAAAATGTTTGAAGAAAACTGAACTTAACAAACTCTAAAATTCCTTGAAAAAAAAATTAAATAAAAAATCTAAAATTCACAAAAACTTGTTTTCCACTTCCTATTGATTTCCAAGTTCCAAAGAGTAAATAATCATTGATTATGAGGTCTGATGCAGTGATTTTCTTTCTAGATGGCTTTCACACTGAAATTCAATGTATTGTTTATATATATATATATAGACATGTAAAAAAAGTTTTGACTTGTTAGTATGGCACTTATCTTGCAACCAACAAACTACACATAGTAGACGTTGGGCGAGTGAGTGAAAACTGTAAAAATTTTGCGCACTTTGCGGGTTCCTCTTGTAAGCTTATAGTTATCGAATTCCTCCCAACAGGAATCAAAGAGTAGTGCTTTTCAAATGTGTCCAACCAACAAGTCCAACTCAATACAAAACAACCATCCATGACAACCTCTCTCTCTCTTACACTGTCTCTCTATATATCTGTATATATATATATGTATATACTTTTGAAAGATCTAATGTCGTTTCAAACCACTGTTCCTTAATGATATTTTATTATATGCTTTCTGTCTGAGAGGAACCGAGTTTCCATTATAAACCAAAATCCAACACCATGAGACAACCAAATGGGTACTATCTGACTATGATCTTAAAGGTACTCTACTTTACTTTGGTTGTTCTCAAATGTACATTATTGTTTTGAAGAGGAAACATAGGATACTGTGGTAGATTTTGTTGGTTTCACAAGAAAAAAAAAAAAAAAAAATTAAAAAATAGTTTAATTCCCTAATACAGCATATATTTTGCCTTTTTAACTTAAGGACCCACAAACACCAACTACAATTAATTGTTATTAATCAACCATTCATGCTTCTAGCTGTAACAGTTGTTAAAGATTAATCTAGTAGCCAAAAAAAAAAAAAAATTACTGATTAATCTTAGATTCTTAATGATGTCTGGGTGGTTTTCTAAGTCAAATTTCTTTAAATGTTTGCTCATGAAAGATTACAGTCGACATAAAGCAAAAATAAAAATAAAAATAAAAAAATTGTATAATATTTTAGGACAATGAATTTGTCTACAATCATTGTTCTGTGTGTTGTTGGGTTTTTGGAGCCTCATTGGTACTCGTACACAGTACACCTTATAACACGGAATATTTGAGGTGAAATTTTTTGGGGATGAAGGGCATTTTGGTAATTTCAATGTAAACTCTAATACTGAGAAAATAGTGAAATTAGTGTGTGTATTGATGCCAGACACAGTGTGAGAAGAAAGAAGTGATGACAAGGCACAAATTAGTGTACCTAAAAGATAAGTGTTTGATTGGTTTATCATTTAGAAAATATAGTTTTTATTTTTAAAAGAATACAAATAAAAAAAATTATACGAAATCTATGCTTGATTCAAATTTTAAGAACTGATTTTTAAAAATTCTGTTAAAACTTGAACAGGCAAGTGTCTCTTCTCAATATTTCAAATAAACAGCTCCGATTAATGCCTGAAATTTTTTAATTAGGCAGTTTTCTTTTAAAGAAAATGTAGGAAGTAATTATAATAAATAAATAAAAAGAAAGAATGAATGAGAGAGAGAGAGAAAGCAATGGACTAAATTCCACCGCATGAACAGGGGTAAATAAGACTGAAATGAAAGGAGGAAGGGTAGTCCAAAATTGTTTGGTGAGGAGTGTCAACACTTGATTTGAAATTGAAACCACCCCAAAAAGGTTTGACAAAACATTCGACCAATGAAATACTAGTTGGAATAAATTTGAACCAATTGCTGTTGTAAAGAAGAGGGCAGAGAACCTTATATAGAATCTTTAATTAGATACACCCCATGACTCCATCTAAAGATGGTCTCAAATTTCACGCCCTATACATTACAAAGAAACACTAGCTAGGCCTCTCTGTACATGGTCCACCAACTTTTAAGTATTAATTTATACACACACTGATACACACAGTGTGTTAGAGTTACACAGAGAGAGCATCCATGCAAGCAAAATCAAAACACTATAACGTTCCTGACTTCACCAACGGACCTAAACCAAGCATTTTGAAGTAGGCAAAGTTTTTCCAAACAACAACAAAAACAACAAACAACAACTCTGCTTAACCCCAAAAACCAATAAACTAATAATGCACCACAGCATCGGTTCCAGTTCTTTGCCTTGGAACTTTTCCTTTGGCTTCTTCCCCTTCTTCCCTCGATACCCACATTCTCTCTCTCCTCTCTTTCTCTCTCTACATTTAGTCAAAACCCATCTCCACACCCAACAAATAATATATATTCATATTTCTCTCGCTCTATATCTCTCATTCTTCATTCATAACTAGCTTTTGTTTACAAATGGACATTGAAAAGAAACCCAAGTTTTGCATCAATGACAACTTGGACGTTCTCATAGAGATACTGAAGCGGCTGGACGGGCGGTCACTTGGTGTTGCCGCCTGTGTCTGCCGCCTCTGGAGCTCGGTCACTCGCAACGACTCGTTCTGGGAGGAGCTGTGTTTCCGCCACCTGTCGCCTCCGCCGTCCGGGGTGAGGCCGGTGGTGGTGGCGCTGGGCGGGTACCGGAGGCTTTACATGGTGTGCATGAGGCCGGTGATGAGTCGACTCGCGAAACTCGGGACGGGTGGAGGGGGCGAGTCGGACCTGGTCAGGCGAGTCTGGACTCGCCACGAGGTGGAGCTCTCGCTCTCGCTTTTCTGCGTTGATTATTATGAGAGGTTGGGCGGTGGGAGACTCGGCGACGCGTCCGCTTCGTCGCTCATGTTCCTCTGCAAGCCTGTGAACGTTGGATTGGATGACTTTTGAGTTTGACTCATTCGAAAAAAAGTACTTAGTGGCCATTATTTAGAGCATAATAACGACGTCGTTTTACTCTGTAGCCTACTACAATTAGTATTATTTTTTTTTACAAATTTTTTTTTTTTTTGGGGTTCTTCTAAATTCTAAAATTTGTGACTATATTTATTAAGTTTTTTGGTGTATCAATTATTTATTTTATTTTATTTAAATGTTTTTCTAGATTGAGTGGAAAATTGGAGAAGAGGACATGAGAATAGAGTCAAGTATATTCGATAATGGTATTTAATTAGCTGGCTATGAAAGTGAAAGATCATTAGTGAATTCTCTTTATTTTTGTTTTGTTATAGGGGCAGAAAATCTTTGTAATTGATATATTATTAATGGTGTTACTTTGCCTCCACAAACTTTTCAGCCAAAACTCTCCATCACACATGCAATTAAAACCAGTCATATAAATGGTGTTGTTGGGATAATAATAATCGAGAGTGATTTATCATTGCTATTATTCTAGACAACAACTACTTTTTTTTTTTTTTTTTTTGGCCCTTTAAAGTGATAATATCTAATCTTTATTTTCATTCTCGTTTTTTGTTTGTTACATATACCGATAATGATAGGTGATCCCAAAATAATAATAATTATCATTATTATGTGGGCACCAATTATTATTATTATTATTGTATTAAAAGCACAAAAACTATAAACACATATGAGTCGGAGTTTTAAAGATATAGTTTGATTTGTATTGTAGCGTTCACAATTTTTAAATTGTATCTACACTAGTGCGAGCCATCATTATATGAGTGTCAACAACTTCTTCTCATTATTTAAAATATTATTAACGTAAAAGATGGAGGTTTGGAATTGAAAACTTAATTCAAAAAATCAATTTATTAAGAGTTTTCACCAAACCCAAGAGATTTATATATGATATATATTGGTTTTGGACTTAGGATAGCCCCAGAACTGAGTCTGCAAACTCAGCAGTGTGTTGAGCAAATTAAGGCAATGGTTGAAAATACATGTGAACGTTTTGTCGCATAATAAAAGAAAGATTCTTGGCTTGGCGTAAAAGAAAATGTCAGTATCCAAGTGGTAAAAAAAGTCTCTAACTAGTATTAGATACCTGTACCAGTTATATGTTTTCTAGGTAGGATAATGTATGTAACCTATACATTTAGACCCTTTCAAAAAATTAAACAAAGGAAACTTAAATAAGAAATTGGAATTTTTTTTTTATTATTATTTATATATATATATTGGGTTGGCAAACTCATTAACACATTCTTCCATTGAATCTCGAGGTACTCCTGACCTCTCATTTGGGAGAGTTAGGTTTATCCCAGTTGACAATTATCCATTTGGATAAAGATTATTCACTTTCACATAGAAATTACGTGAGTACTTTTGTTCATTTAGAGTAATTGGAATAAACTACATTCTCCTTTTATTACATGTTATATTTTACTAATCTGAAGGTGAATTTTTACATGACACTAAAATTATTCTATTATGACAAAAAAGTCACATGTTTGAAATAAGAAAATAGTTTTTTCGCTTATGAAAGTAAAACTGCATACATTAGAGCCTCTTCAGATCATGCGATTGCGAAAATCTCGTGCATTGAATTTGTCATTTATATATATATATATATGTATGTATATATATATAATTTTTTAAGATTCAAACACCATGGGCATGAATTATAGTTGTACTTTTATGTGACGCAACTACTTTAGAGAGAAATAGAATTAAACAATATGTTGCGACTTTAAAGAAACAATATGTTCTTTTCTTGTGTGCTACCAAATGCACAAATGATAGTATTTTCTTAATGTGTGCCCATTTCATTTAACAATATTTTTAGTGATGATAGGTGTGGGTTTATTATAAACTCAATGGAGGTCCACTTTTCTCTACAACCAAACACCATCCAATGATGTGGGAAAACGGGTATGCGCATCACGCACACCTGCGCACCGTTGGTTCCTCCGTATTAAATACTATTAACTGCGCTTACTTTTACTTGGTAATCATTACATTATCATACTTTTTTAAGTGTTTTTTCTGGTCGCCGACGACGGAATCTTACATTTTTGCTGCCGGTTTCTGACCCACACAACCCCTAATTCACTGATTTTCTATAACAACCCTAATCTTCACCCTTTTTATAGTCTCCGTTATCTTAAAAATAAAAAAAATAAACTTTTTTGTGTGTTGCAGTTTAACTCTATAGGTGTACCAAACCGGTCTTGTTGATTTGCTCGAGATCTGAAGAGAATTGACGATCTACGAAGCTCTTGACGATCTGGATTTTCTTCATTTCTCTCTGTGATTCCGATCTCGGTAAGTTTCAGTTCAATTCAGTGTTTTCTAACACACTAGTTTACATTAAATATTAGTGCGTAATTTGCATTTTAGCGTTTGGACTGTTGAATTATGAGCTTTGTTACAATCATAGTGAAACTTTGGGAGATGAAATTGAAGATGGTAATTTTGGGTAATTCATATGAACTGTTTTTTTTTTTTTTTTCCCCTTCATTTCCTTAGCTCTAAATTTGAAGTTTATGTTGAAATACCTGAGATTCTGTTTCTTGTTGATCTGTAAAATTTACCTGATTTACTATGTTATTGCGTATTACTGGAGCTGGATTTTATTTTCGGCTTTAGATTTGAAGTTGAAATTAAAATAGTTCCACTTACACTCGAAACAGTTGGAAATGTTTCGGTTTTGTTGAGAAGATTACTTGAATTATTGTAGTTTTGAGTTTTCTTATAAATTGGGTTTAAGTTCCAACCCTATGTTAAAGTTGAGATTGAAATTGTATAATTGGATCGAGTTTCTTACCAAAAAAAGATAGATGGAATTGAATTCCTTAGAAATGTTGTTATAAATTGGGTTTAATTTCCAACTCTAAGTTAGAGTTGAGATTGAAATTGTATAATTGGAATCGAGTTCCTTAAAAAGGTTTACTTGAAAAAGACTTCTGCATTAGCATTTTAGTTAGTTCATTCTCACTGAGAATTATTTGATTTTGTTTATAGAAATTTTATTTAGTTTAAGATGTGAATTCTTCAAATGCTGGTGTTGTTGATAATAATTTGAAGCTTGAAACTACAAAATACTTAAAAAAAAATTACAACCAAACATTCGCAGACATGTGACTTTGTTATGCATTGCAGTTCAGCTTCAACAATTAAGACTTTTGGACCTGTCATGGATTTTGTTTCACAAATTTGGCTTTGAAGTTCTGAAATTCTACATGGAACCACATAAAGAGGACGCTCTTCGAGCTAAAGAAAATGCTGAGAAGCTTTTTGCTGAGAAAGACTTCATAGGCGCAAGGAGTTTTGCTTTAAAGGCTCAAATGTTGTACCCAGAACTTGAGGGTATAACTCAGTTGGTGGCTACATTTGAAGTATATATTGCTTCTGCGGTTAAAGTTAATGGAGAAATCGATTTTTACTCGATTCTTGGATTGGAACCATCTGCGACCAAGGCTACATTGAAGAAACAGTACAGGAAGATGGCTGTCCTGCTCCACCCTGATAAGAACAAAAGTGTTGGAGCTGATGGAGCATTCAAGCTTGTATCTGAAGCATGGACACTTTTGTCTGACAGTAACAAAAGAAGCTCGTATGATCTCAAGAGAAACAAGCAATTTTCAACTGGGGTTGTGCAGACGAACTTGTCTTCAGTTCATACTGGCGGGGTTACAGGTTTCAACAACTGTTCCAAGTCTTCACTGTCTCATACTAGACTTGATACTTTCTGGACCGTGTGCACCTCCTGTCAAGTTCAGTATGAGTACCTTCGCAAGTACTTGAATAAGAGACTTTCATGTAAGAACTGCCGTGGTATTTTCATTGCGGTGGAAACTGGAGCAGCCCCTGTGAATGGTTCATTCCCTTATTGTCCTTGGTCATATGTGTCTGATAATGGTTGTGGAAGTCATGCAGTTAATGGGCCTACATATGTCCCAACCACTAGTATATATTTTGCAGGGAACGGGGTCTCGGGACTGCATTCTGGACATGGGCCTGAGTATGTTCCTAATGTGTCATTTCAGTGGAGCTCGTTCCATGGAGCTTCTGCTGGAGTTGTGGATACGAATGGATTAAATACCAAACCCACCTATGGCATCCATCAGGTCAATGGAAACACCAACAAAACGAGATCCAATGGAAAAAATCAAATGAAAAATTCTGTGGTTGATATGAGTTCTAATGTAGTAACTGGCTATAATGAACCCTCGACCTCCAAGGTCGGTAGACCTGGTAAGAAAAGGAAGGTTGATTTGGGGGTCACTTCCCGAAATGGGAATGAAGCAGTAGTTTTAAAAACTGCTTCAGAATTGCCAACGGCTAATGGAAATGGACATGTTAAACATAATCCTAAGCTTTCAACTCAAAGTGAGCCTCCAGCTAGACGTCACTCAGCAGCCCCAGCATTTGATGCTAGAAAGTTGTTGATTGAGAAGGCAAGAACAGAAATCCGTAAGAAGTTGGAAGAAATCAGACTGGCTTCAGCTGCAGCACCAGAGGCAGTGGCAGTGGCAGTGGAAGTGACTGAGAAGAAAGAAAAATTGCATATTGAAGTCTGTAAATCTGGCAATGCACCTATAGGGACAGGCTTGGGCAGTTCTGGACATCAACCAGAGCTGAAGAAAGCTGGGTCAATGTCGATAACAGTCCCTGACTCCGACTTCCATGATTTTGACAAGGATAGAGCAGAAGAGTGCTTCAAGCCAAAGCAAATATGGGCTCTATATGATGAAGAGGATGGCATGCCTCGCATATACTGTCTGATCCGCGAGGTCATCTCTATTAAACCATTTAAAATTCACATCAGTTATTTGAACTCCAAAACAGATGGTGAATTTGGATCAGTGAACTGGGTGGATTCTGGGTTTACAAAATCTTGTGGAAGTTTCAGGGCATGGAATTCGGACATTGTTGACCAAGTCAACATATTTTCTCATCTTCTGACCAAGGAGAAGGCTGGCAGGGGTGGTTGTGTGAGGATCTATCCAAAAAGTGGAGACATATGGGCAGTATATCGAAATTGGTCACCAGATTGGAACAGATCAACCCCATATGAAGTGAGGCACCGGTATGAGATGGTGGAAGTTCTTGATAATTACTCTGAAGAGCTTGGAGTATGTGTCACTCCCCTGGTTAAAGTACATGGATTCAAGACAGTATATCAGAGGAACACAAACAAGGATGCCATCCGATGGATCCCAAGGAGAGAGATGGTGCGGTTTTCGCACCAGGTGCCATCTTTGTTACTCAAAGGAGAATCCTTTAACCTGCCGGACGGGTGCTGGGATCTCGACCCTGCTGCGACTCCAGAGGAGCTTCTTCAAGCTATTACTGAAGTGAAGGCCGAAGAAAAACCTAGACAATCAAACTAGAATTTGGAAGGTCCTTTGTCATAGTTCTGACTGTATTGGGATTAAAAATGTACAGATTTAAATACGTAGAGGGCCAATTCTCAGAAAATTAGATTGCTGGGAGGATCACAATCTGATCCACGGCTTTGAACTGAGATTATTTTTAGAGGGTTCCCACTTTTCATTGAGCAACTTGTACTTTTGAATTCCAGATAGTTTTTAACTGCTAGACTCCAGAAATGCATCTCTGGTTCAGAATAGAACTTTTTATAGAACTGTAAGACTGCTCTGTTTGTTCGTGCTATTGGCAGTTGCATAATTTGGGACAGGATGATAGATTCATCTCTACCCACATTAGTACTGTTGTGCATTTTGTCCTTGTAAACTGTCGATTACATTCAGGTCCTCCAAAAGCAAAACCTTGGATAATTTGACGAGGTCTAGCCAAGATCAAATACCATGATCTTCGTTGTATCGTTCCAATTTTATCGGATACCATGATCAAGCTGCTAAATAGCTGCTGGCATTTTCAGCCGACTGTTTATATATGGTTTCATATTCTAAAAGCAACCACTAGCCTTCACACAAACTAAGGTTAGGCTATGAAGTAACAGCTTCATCTTAGCAGTGGGTGTTGCAGGTTTCTGTTAGAGAATGGACATCAGCTTCTATGCTCCATTGGGCACCACCTGATGTGTGTGCGCGCGCTTGTGTGTGTGTGTGTGTGAGAGAGAGAGGGTCTAAAAATTCACAAGGAAGATAAAGAATCATCATTTTGAGGGAAATTCCAATGATATAGTTCCAAAAGAAAAAGGGGAAAATATCCCATCTCAATTTGGTTGGTATACCGAAAAAGGGCATAACCATGCTCTACACCTGTGCAACTATACAGCATATATTTTTTATCATATTATTAGGCCTCTTAATAATATTTCGAAAAGGTTACGAAAAATATACTCCATTCGAATAAAGTATGGAAGTTCTTTCTTAAATGCATTCAAGTAATACTAATTTGAACTTCACATAGTACAATCATGAGAAGTCTTATTTGACTCTCGTTTTTGGTACTCTCTTCGGAAAGAGTATCCCTGCTCAAAAACTAATGCATTTTGGACATGAATTATGTAATGTTATGAAATTGTAATTTTTCTTTCCATTCAGATTGAATTAATTCCAACATATACACTAATGTGAGTTCTTATTTCATAGTTCATACAAAATAATATAAAAAATGTATTTTTTATCCTTTCCATTCGACACTCAATATAGCCGAGACCTAGATTAGATAATAGTAGCACTTTTAGATCCATATTGCGAAGCTGAATCGGCTAGCCTTTAAATTGTTTGGTTGAAGCCATCTCAACCTTCAATTAGGCTTTTTGAAAAGACACCACTAAATAGTAAACAAAATCCAAAACTACAATTGGTCTAGAATTTTACAAGACCATTTTTTTTTTTTCTTGAATATTACAAGAAACATTTTGCAGAGTATTACATTGTAATGTTCTTCTCATTCATGGCATGTATGCATTAATCCAACAATAAGAAATCAAGTTGCGTTGGTCATAAATCATAATGTTACACCCTGGATCCAAAAAAAAAAATCCGAATTTCATGCCTCTTTGTAGTGAGAAGATTCATTGTCACTACACTAATTTACTTCAACAAAAAGAAAGAATATATGAAAAATAAGCTTCCACTTTGGCTTTTCCAGAACTAGTTTTGGCTTTGAATTAGGGAGTGAACTCATAGCGACAAGAGTTATGACCTGTAGGAAAACATTTAGAATAAAGATTATCAATTAAAAATAAGAAAAAGAGCAAAAGAATAATAGAATAAAGTAACCAATAAAGCATGGGTAACATAATAATATATATAGGTGACTAAAGGCACTAGTCTGACTCATATGATGACCCTCTATATTAAAAACCAACACAAAACATGAATTAGAGGATCCCACATGGGTTGATAACTAGGTTTCACTGTCATCTTCTGGTTTTTTTCCTTTTTATAAAAAAAAATGCAGATTAAAGTGCATTTATAAAAGTTTGTCAATTTGTTGTTTACAAAATAACTAGATAGGATGGGCATCCTGGATTTGCTTGCCCAACATTTCTTGAGCACATGGATATGCTCCTTTTACTCAACACCATGTGACATTCCATGGACCATATGGTTTAATTAGAGGGACTTTTTAGCTCTATCACGTTAAGAATTTGATGTATAATGCATCTAAGGGTGGGTGGACTGTAAGGTCGTTCTATTATGATCCGGCGGTCACATATTTAAAATGAGAAACAGTCTCTTCACATACGAAGATAAAGCTGCGTACATCTGACCTTTCCCAAATTCCACAATTTCGGGAATCTCATACACTAGACTACCATGCCTCTATTCAGGTTATTTCTCCGCCTACACGAAAGACTAGAGACAAACCTAACCGGGATTTCAGAGTGGGTGCCTCTGTTTGACCTAAAAATGAATTTGGAAAAGAAAAGGAGGGTTAGGGATATCTTGATTTGCTTACTGGGATCAAGTTCTGTGGTCATGGCAGCACCTTTGAAGTAGCAAGTAGCACCTTTGTGCTTGAACTTCTGATAGTAATTGTTGAAGGCATAAGAAGCATGGTCCTTCACTGTGTTTGGGAAATAGCAAGCTTGGTTCACCTGAATCTTACTACAATCTGCACCTCCTTTCCCACAAGCCCAATCCAAGGCCACCTGCAACTCGTTGTCCGGAGTCTGCTCATCAGCTATGCACCATTGCTCAAACTGCCCATCTAAACGAAACCATTCATACACAAACAATATTATATAAGACTTGGGACGACAAATTTCGCGAACCAAGAATGCAATTATTACGTAAATCTTTGAATTCTTTGTGTAATGTCAAAATACAAGCCGCAAAAAAATTCACCAAAAGAGAGGTAGGAAAATCATAAAGATTACTAATGTGTATATGAACTTTAGTAGAATCATTTACTCATCCTGAATTTAGGGAGGAATTGTATAAAACAGAGATTAATGTTGGTAATTTGTACAAACTTTGAGTTTTTTAACTTCTCATTTCACATTCCTATGAAACAAAGCTTTTTATCTCATTTGAAGATTTCGTAGCTGAAAAAGAGACTCGCATCGGTTACTTACCTGACTTCTGTGAAATTGTCGCTGCAAGCAGCACACCGAGCAAAATCCTAAGCAAAATACTTGTCATTTTTCAGTGAGAGTGAGAGATAGAGATGATATAGATATAAATATAAATTGGAGTTTAAAGAGTGTGAAGATTGGAGAGTGAACAAGTTGCTGAAAATATAAAGAGAATGAGAATGAGACGGGGTAAAAACAATTACGGGAATAACAAATGAACTGCGGTATTGGGTATTGGATATGCATATCATCAATTGCCATAACACATCACATCATTTTCCTCATATCATTTTACATTATTTAATTCTTAAAAAAAATTTCCTTATAACTTTAATATATTTTTATTTGTGACACCTATCATGTCACATAAATAAAAATATATTATTTTAATAGCTCATATATTTGCCGATAATACCATGCCATAATTACAACCGGCCCAATTGTAGTACTGATACAGTGGCTCTACATTAATTGCCATAATATACCACATCATTTACCACATAATGATGCCATGTTATCATCAATGTTAGTCCCATGACAAACCACGTCATCATTGCGCTTGAAGTCGCACCTTGCACAAATTTTTTTTTTTTTCCTCCCGTTTAAAATGGGAGTAAAGTCGACGAGATTTTTTAATGGAATTTTCAAAAACATTTTAGGATTTGATTCTTATTCATTCCAAATAACAGGATTTCTATTTCTATTTTAAAATCATAATCCGTCAAATTTCATCATTCAACTAAATTTGTAAATTTTCATTGCATTTTACACTCTGATTCGGATCCAGCCACTCAAAGCAAAACAATTTGTCAAATCAACAACACGAGAGATGATGATTTACATTTATTGCATCAATATAATCCTATAAAATAGGATATGTAAACGACTTTCAACTCTGTCAAACCACGTAGCCATAATCCACTCTTTCCTTGTCAATAAAAAATAATAAAAAAATTGATTCTCGAAACATCAAACTAAAAGAATGAATTTATCTATGATTATTTTTCTTTTGCGTTGTTTAGATTGCTTAGTCTTCCATCTTTGCCCAGGAACCAAAATCATAGACCAACTAATAACCGAAGGTTTAACAAGTACCAGAAAGGGAGGACACATAAACAACCAACTTTATGTAAGAAATGATACCAGAAATGAATCAAGTGACGAGCATTATCCCAAGAACACAAAAACCAACATCCTGTGACATCTTTGAATGATCAAGAACACAACACAGATTGAATACCTAGAGCTTCCACCTCAAGCTTAAGCATTTCTATCTTTATCACGATCGACAACCAACATATTTTCAAGAATTAACAAGCATTATCCCAAGTCTATACAAACATTCAACCAAAAGCCATTCTTCCTTCCCCTGAAATCAGTTACAAGAAAGAAGAACCTTGAATAAATGTGTATGGAACACTGAAAAATGAATAAAGGAGCCTAAGCAAATGAAAATGTCCTGTGAACAGGATTCATCATTCATACTTTGAATGGCAGCTAAAAGTGATGCCAACAGACAAGTAACCTAAGTTGAGAAAGTAACACATAATGTTCCAAAAAATAACACTACTCGGGATCAGCTACATAAACTGTGTGTTTTCATTCTACTCTATTTAAAACAATGGCCACAATCAAACCACATGTTACTGTATCCTTCCTTACAAACTCTACTTAAATTAACTTTGGTTTTCCTCTTCCCCTAGTATTACTCTCAATGTAGACTATGTCACTCTTCCTAACTGGAGCACTTAAAAGGTCTTCTTTGCACATGTCCAAACCATCTCAATCAATTTTCTCTCATTTTATCTCCAATTGGGGCTACACCAACCATCTCACGAATGTGATCATTAATCTATTTCCAATTATATCATTTTTAGTCTTACTCCACATCCATCTCAACATTCACTTTTTCACCACACTCACTTTATACATATGTTGTTTCAATCTTAAGGGGATATGCAGATCACACAAGCAAAAAATTGTCTCATATAGTGGGGAGAAAACCAAAGAAAGCAAAACATAAGCAATTATTTGCCATAACTCTTTCCACTCTCCTCCCGTCTGTAACAATCTTCACTAGCTCTAGCTTCTCAACCCTGTTATATGGTATGACTGAGAACTGATACCATATAGTGAGGAAACCCAATGTTAACAATAAAGCCAAGCACATGAATATATTATAATTACAAAGGAAACTGCTCTGGTATTTCAAAAAGAGTGTAACAATATATTTCAAACAATACCCCATTTCCAACTTTCAAGAACTTGTCTGAAGGTGTGTAAATGTCCGAAGGTGTGTAAATTTAAACAAATGTTACACGGTCCTTGCAGGTATTGCACTTAAGATGCAAAGCTCAGGTCCCTTGCAAGGAGAAAAGAAATCGTCAGAATAGATGTAATTACATGAACACACTGGCAAATTAGTATATAAGAACTGGATATCAAAAGGCTTGTAAAGGGAGACTGGAAGAGAGGATTTGTTATTTGATCAAACTAAAAATTGAGCACGGACAATTTTAAGACCTTAAAGTTAAGTGTTGAATTTTTTTAAGTATTCAAAGAACTTTATCAAAAAAACTTAATTGGATTATAACTTAATCTTATTTAAAGTTAAGTGATGCAAACAACACCTTAATTAGGGTTAAGGATCTCCCTATCAGTTACTCAACCTGCCAGATGAAAACATTGACATACATCCTATCTGTCCTTTTTCTTGATGAATGTTAACATAGGCCTAAAGCTCTCAAATGAAAATTTTCTAATTCACAAACTAGAAACATCCTCTTCATTTTGCTTTTCTAATCCTTGCAACTAATAACTGTCTCAATAGAAAAGAGACTGTCAAGATGTACAGCTCATTTACCTGACTCGGGAAGCCATTGCATGTAAGATCTGTGAGTCCTTCACATACTTAAGTTTATACATTGTTAAGAAATGGAAATCACGGAAAAAATCTTAAGGATTCAACATACTGCAGCAAGAAATCAAACAGCTATTCATAGAAGTTGAACATCAATAAACTTGCAGGACAAAGATGCCTCTTGGAAAGCCTTAGGTTGGAGCAGAGTCGTTCACTAAACTCAAATCACAATAACTAGTATACACTAAGCATGCCCTAAAGAATCAGAAAAGAACAAAAATAAATTAAAAAAAGGGGGGAAAAAAACTTGGTATTTTTAGAAGAATACAAATGCAGCAGAAATGCAATTACACATTTACACCCCTACCTATGGCAGGGAATTAGATCTATCAACTACAAAAATAGTTGTGCTACTCTTTCTTTCTTTATCCATCTTATCATACTTGCTCCTAGCATATTCAGATTCCAAGATATAGATGTTATAAGAAGCAAACATTAAATTGATTCTATATGCTAACAATGGCAATAAATTGGCAAGATGAAGAAGGCAGTTCTGCAATTCATATACAATTCATGTACAGCTAAGTCCATATCATGTAAATATTATACAAGGATAAAAATAGAAATTATGATAATAAGTATAACTAATGGGAAATATAAACATTGCCTGCCTGGCTGCCTTCCTATTTTTCTTTGCTTCCGTCAGCATTCCTAACAAATGCTCGGTTCCTGTCCCTCACTCTTCTTTTAAAAGTTTATTCCAACAGTATGCTCGGTTCAATGAGACTTGATCTTTTCCATCAAGTAAAACAAGGCTCTCCATATAAGTATCCAAATGAGACGAGTCTTGAAACCAAAAGTCTTCAACATGGACCTCTTCTTTGCTCTCAGGATCGTAGGAAACCAACTCTCCATCACCCATTTCCACAAGAACTTCACCAGTTCTCCTAAATCCCAAAACCTTGTTTATTTCTTGTGCTAGATCAACAGTAAATAATTTTATCCAAGACTCCACAACACCATACTCTTGCATCACCCATATGCAACATCTCTCACTTGTACCCGACAAATCACCATCATAACAGAATAGAGACAGAGATTCCCCAAAAAGTGAAATTGACATTTTCAACTTAGGGCCATTAGCAACACTAGCCGGAAGCACCATCTCGCCGAAAACCTCAGAACCCATATCAAATGACAAAATCAAATAGCGATTTTGTTCCTTGCCCTTCTCAAATGCAATCCAATGGGAAGCCCCTTTCACGAAAACATGCGAACAATGACGGGGAATCATCTCATACGGAGGAACAACAGCACTACTGCCTCTCCACAAACCAGTGCTAAGCTCATAAACCTCAACCTCAGGTGAAACTCGGGAAGTTTGTGTGTTGCCCGAATTGCAAACATTCCCAATTCTCACAACTTTGAAGTCGTTAGTCGAAGAATTGAATCCAAACCCAACAACAAAATCATGAAGCGAGAATTCGGTGGGGGGCATGGGAAGATTGAAGGACTTTCTAAGTGCTGGGTTCCAAAGAATAAGAACGCTTGTAACAGAGAGATAATCACACAAACAAATCAACCCATTACATGAACCCACTATCTTGTAATAATGGACTGGCCAGACTTTATAACTATTATCGAATGTCATACATTCATCAAATATTTCATCATCATACCGTATTGAGAAGCGCTCTTTGTTGTCAGGATTAGAGTGGTACCTGAGGAGTAGTAATTGAGTCTTCTTGTCGTCTGCAACACTTCGATTGATGTGTTCTGTGATGAAATTAGGGTTCTTGATTATAGCGTGAAATGATTTGCAAACGCATCCGACGTGAACGATACTCTTGATCGGTAATCTTGTGCAGATATCAGCGAAGAGTTCTTGAGGTAGATTGTCCAAGAACATCGTTACCGTCTGATCTGATCGGCAAAACCCTAAAATTTGATGGCCAATGTCCTGCTGAATGAATGTACAGTTTGGGGACCTTGGGGAAAAAGATATTTATTATAGTGAGTGCTCTCAGACTGAGAATCGGATCTTCACGGTGAGAATACCGGGTCAGCTTATTCGGGCCTTTTTCTTTCTTTATTTGAACATTTTTAGATGGCATTATCTGGTGACTGAATTGGAATTTGGTTCTTTACACTCAGCTCCGTCAAATTCACGTGTTCACGAATAATTTTATGAAAGTTCTTAAACATTAATTCCTCTATCCTTTTAAAGAAACATTTAATTATTGCAAATAAGTGAATTTTTTTAAACTTCAAGAATATTATATATTGTTTGAACATTTAAAGTGAATGTATTTTGAATAACTCAAAAAATAAATAAATAAATAAATAAATTGGGACGAAAAGAGTATTCAAATTGCACATTGCATGTAAACCTGAATACGTTTTTTTTTACATTGTGACTTGAGCCATTAAATAACATTGCAAGATAAATTTGACTGTCATGTGAAATGATATTTAAAAAAAATAAAAAAAATAAAATTATAAACTCATATAAAAAAACAAAACAAACAAGCAAACGACGCACTGCAAATATTTGTCATCCTTGTCTATTTAATTCTCTTCCCAAGTTCATACCTTTTCCCAATCAGTCCCTAACCTCAAAACAAACCCAACTATATGCATGCACAATTGCGCATGAATCTCATCAAGACTATACAAGTTAAATGACACTACCATCTTAGACCAGAATGATGAAAAACAATTCATATATAACGTACACAGCCTAAATTAGAAAATTCTAAGTTTTACAACTACGAGCAACACAATGATTAACTTGTCAACAATGAGCACATTCAATAAGTGAAGGAAAATAAATAAATAAATAAATAAAAGAAGAAAAATACCAGTGTCATTTCTAATATTTATGTTAAAGAAACCGGAAAGAATGATGCTTACAGATGTAGATGTTAAAAGAACCAAATACTAGATTTCCCCTTAAATGTTTAACAAACCCACTAAAGAAACTGAAAATGAGCACTGCTCAACCCTACCCCTTTTTACAGACGCAGATGTTCAAAGAACCAAATACTAGATTTCCCCTTGCATGCTTAACAATGACAGCAAATTATGCTAGATGAGAGTTACTGTGAAACAGAGTCAAGCTTTCAAGTTTAAAAACTTTCTGGGAAAGAAAAAAGGACAGAGAGAGAGAGAGAGAGAAAGAGGCCCCTTTAGCCCTACCCATAATTTTGAAAGATTGTACTACTTTAAAAATAAAAAATAAAAATCCTACATTCTCAACCTTCAACACTACATTAACAGTTTCCAATACTAAATGCAGTATACTTTTCTAAATAACACAGAAACCAAATAATATCTGAAAGCAAACTCCATCTGATGCAAAACCACTGACATGGGCCCACAATACGCTCTTATTCATGTGAGTGGCAACGGCAGTTTATTTCTAGTCATTTGCGATATAAATTAAAACCAAATAAACAAATATCAAAGACAACTAAGGTCCAACAACACAGTAGATTGTAGACAAATAGCCAAAATTATGTATGAAATGACATAATTTTAATTTGCACAAAGAGAGGGGGAATGAAAGAACCGGTTGAGAGAGGAGGAGTTTGTGACATTGTCAGAGAACCGCTTATCTTTTTGTGCCCCTAAAACGACATCACTTTTGAAGTTTTATTCATTTAGCTGATATGGTGTGATATAAGCCTTAAATCTGTGTAGAATGCCACATGTCAGTATCTTAATGATTCAACTTTTGATAATGTAGAGAGATTTTAACTTAAAGGATCCTCGTCCTAAGTTCGTACCTTTACACAATCAAGTCCCAAATCCCAATCCCGAAATAGTAGGGTTCCATTAAGTAGCCTAAAAACAAACCACTATATACAAATGAATCTCAAGAATATATAAGTTAAACGACACTACCGCCTTCGAGCAGAATGATAGAAAACAATACATATTATGTACACAGCCTAAATAGTTGAGAAAGACTTTGTTGAGTTAATTTGAGCTTTTCAAACTACTTATGCACATTGGGTTCAGTTACAAATGAGAAGGGAAAAAGAAAAAGAAGCGTATAGGACCTGATGAATTAGAAAATTTTAATTTTTACAGCTAAGAGAAACAGAATGATAGAATAGTTACATGTAACAATAATGCTTTTACTGAAGAGGTTGGAGAAGAGGATGGAGTTGAGGAGGGAGCATCAATTAAGAAAGGTAAAACATGCAAAGAAGAATAGGCAGGCAGGCAGGCAATCTGAATGTACTTCACATTATTTGCATTAATTGTCATATAGTTTCAATTTTATCCCTAGAAAATGAGATTGACCCTGCTACGTATAAACTTGAAAACTTGACTTTGCATCACAGTACCTTTCATCTAGCATGCCATTGGTCAAATCTATAGTTTTTGGCTCTTTTAACATCTACATCTGTAAAAATGGATAGGGTTGAGCATCGTTTTTTCGGTTTCTTTAATATCGTAAATATTATATAATCTTGGTATCTTTCATTTTTTTTTTTTCCTTTCTTTTTTGATGTGGGTTGCTCTTTTCACTTATTGATTGTGTTCATTATTGATATCAAATGACAAAATCAAATACCGATTTTTTCCAGGCCCTGCTCAAATGCGACTCAATGTGAAGCCCCATTTACAAAAAACATGCAATCAATGATGTAGAATCATGTGATACAGATGAGCAGCATAACCGATCATTCTCCACAGACGTGTGCTAAGTTCATAAACATCAACCTCGGGCGGAAGTTCATAATCAAACAAGTTGTGAAGATAAACAATTCTCACAACTTCATAGCATTAGCCCCAGAATCGAACCCAACCTAAGCAAGACCAAACATGTATAGACCATGTGATTTGTATGTAATATGGGGCATCGGAAGTCTCACGGACTTTTGAATTCCTGGGTTCCATAGAGGATAATGTTTGTATATTATCCAAACCATTAGACAAAAATAAATCATCCGTCGGACAAGCAAATTAACCCATTACATGAAACCACTATTATGAGGTAAATCTACATTCAAAATAAATTTACATTCTCGATCCACTATACTTTCCGTGAACAACACAGAAGCCAAATAATATCTGATATAAAACTCCATCAGAGGCAAAGGCAACAACGCGCACTTATTTGTGTTTTTAGTGGCAACAACAGTTTATTTCAAGTCATTTGCAGTTAAAATTAAGATCCAAGAAACAAAAATCAAAGACAACTATAACTGAAGGTCCAACAAACAGTAGATTGGGGACAAATAGCCAACTTTATTTAAGAAATGACATCAGGTACCAATACAACAGCAGCGATAACTAAAATATAAGAAAATCAATATAGTGAAAGAAGCAACAAGTGGTAAAATCAGATTTCCCAGGAGATTATCGAAGAGAGAGGTCGGGGTATCAACCCGAAACCAGGGATATTCGAGCTATTTCAGTCTAATTCCTGTGCTTACCAAGCGTCGCAAGGCAGGCAATTAGTCAAAAGAGATTTCAGATATGTGTGCCAAAGAATTGGTACAGTAATCTAGAAAGGAAAAAAAAAAAAATTGGGTACAGCACAGGTCCTTTCCAATGACAAAGCAATTAAATAAAAATAAAAAATAAAAAATAAAAAATAAAAATAAAAAAAATAAAAAAAATAAAAAAATAAAAAACTACAGCTTCCATCTCACATTTGGCAATTCTGCTCATCCTGATCGACAACTCTACAACTACTCTTCTCACATCCCCCAAGAGTGGATGCACTATCATCTTCTTAGAGAGTATCTCGACAGAAAAATGGGTTGAAGTAATTAGTTAAAGCATTCTCCAGAAGTCTATACAAAAATATTCAAATTAAGTTTAGACATTGTTAAGAAATGAAGATCATACAACACAATTGTAAGGATTCAACATAATGCAAGAAGAAATCAGAGGTCTATTCATGTCAGTTAAAATTCAATAAACTTGCAAGACAAAGATGCCGAATCGTATATCCCTTAGAAAAGTTTTGCTTGGACTCAAGTCATTCACCAAAATGAAATTCTAATAACAAGTATACACCAAGTAAGCCCTAAAAATCTGAAAAGAATACAAAAAGGGAAATGTAATTACATCCCTACCTATGAAGGGAATAAGATCATCAACTACAAAAATAGCTGCTGCTACTCTTTCATCCTTCATCCATCTTCTCATTCCTGCTACTAGCATATTCCCATTCCAACAACTCTGCAAACTGAAAATGAATTGTACCAAAATTAATCTAATTTTATACCACTGGATAAACTGACATGAACATTGCACAACCTGTCTTTACAGATATAAATGTTATAAGAACCAACATTAGATTGACTTATCAAAAAAAAAAAGAACCAAACATTAGATTGATTCTATAAGCTAACAATGGCCATAAATTGGTAAGATGTAAGGTAGTTTTGCAATTCATATATAGGCAAGTCAATATCACAAGGATAAAAAGAGGAATTATGATTATAACAGGAAGTAAAATCCTTGCCTGTCTTCCTATTTTTCTTTGCTTCCTTCAGCATTCTTAACAAATGTTTCCTCCTCAATCTCTCTTCTTCTCATCCCTTTTTAAATAAGAAATTCACCCTTCTGATAGATAATTGAGACAGTATGCTCGGTTCAATGAGACTTGATCTTTTCCATCAAGTAAAACAAGGCTCTCCACATAAGTATCCATGTGATATGAGTCTTCTTCAGACCAAAAGTTTCCAAGATGGATCTCTTGTTTGCTCTCAGAATTGAATGAAACCAACTCTCTGTTACTCTTTGCCACAACAACTTCACCAGTTCTCCTAAATCCCAAAACCTTGTTTATTTCTCCTCCTACATCAACAGTAAATAGTTTCGTCCAAGACTCCACTACACCATACTCTTTCATCACCCATATGCAACATCTATTACTTCTACCTGACAAGGCACCATCATAATGAAATAGGGACAGAGATTCCCCAAAAAGTGAAATTGACAAGTTCAACCAGGGCCATCAGCAACACTAGCTGGAAGATTCATCTCACGGAAAACCTCAGAACCCATATCAAACAAAACAATCAAATATTGAATTTGTTCCTTGACCTCCTCAAATGCTACCCAATGGGAAGCCCCTTCACAAAAACATGCGAAGAATGACAGGAAATGTTGCAATTCAGAGGAACAACAGCACTACTGACTCTCCACAAACCAGTGCTAAGCTCACAAACCTCAACCTCAGGTGAAACACTGTAACCATACATGTCAACAAAATACACAATTCTCACAACCTTGAAGTCATTAGTTAAAGAATTGAATCCAACCCCAAGAACAAATAAATGATCTGAGAATTCACTAGGGGGCATCGGAAGATTCAAGGACTTTCTAATTGCTGGGTTCCAGAGAACAACAAGGCGTGTTAATCCATAGAATTCGTCCGAAAAACAAATCAACCCATTACATGAACCCACTATCCTGTAATAATGGATTGACAAGATTTTGTGACTATAATCGAGTGTCATATATTCATCAAATTTTTCCTTATCACAACGTATTGAGAATCGCTCTTTCTTGTCATGATCAGAGTGGTACCTGAGGAGTAGTAATTGAGTCTTGTTGTCATCTGCAACAGTTCGATCAATGTGTGCTGTGATGAAATTAGGGTTCTTGATGAGAGCGTTCCATGATTTTCAAACGCATCTGATTTGCACGATAGTCTTGATTGGTAATCTTGTGCAGATATCACTAAGAAGTTCTTGAGGTAGCTTGTCAAAGAAGTACATCATCACTGTTTGATCGTCAAAACCCTAAAATTTGATAACCAAAAATCCCGCTCAATGTAGTTTGGGTTTTGCAACTTTGTGTTCGGATCTTCACAGTGCGAAGAATATTTTAGGTCCTCTCATTTGTATTCTTTCATCTCCAGACTCCAATATCCGGAAACTATTAGGGCCAGTTTGGTTGGGAAGAAATGGAAAGAAAAGAAATGAAATGGAGGGATATGGAGTTTTGTGTTTGATATAAACTTTTGGAAGGAAAAGAGAGGAAATGGAAGGATTTGGAGGGATATGTTGAAAAGCTTGAATAGTAGTTTGTTATCCCTCCAAAAATGGGAGGAAATGGAAGGAAAGGAAGTGAAATTGTAGCATTTTTAATGAAATTTTTATAATGTCAAATTTGCCAAAAGACAAGAACCATGAAAAAGGTTAGAGTAGTAAATTCATTAAAATAGTTTCTTTTCCTAAGCATGATTACTATCATTTCCTTAATTAGTCAACCAAACACCTCTCATTTCCTTTCTTTTATTTTCTCTCGTATTTCCACTGTACCAAACATAGCCTTAGGTAGTTCGGCGCCTGATCCCACCAATTAGGGCAGGTCATGTCTTGTCAATTTTATTAATTTTTGTTGACATGGCTTATGTTGATTGGTTGGGATCATGCAAGTCCCAAGAAGTTATTGGCTATCAGGGTAATTCATTTATTAAATATCCCGGCCTAATGAGATTTTCTTATTGGTTGTAGTATGTAGTAACTATTATTCGGAGGGATACGGATCCTCTCCTTGGGACATCTCTCTCCTGCTCTCTCCAAAACTAATCTGGAGGCTAATATTAAGACACGTCATTCGTTAAGACACATCATTTGCCACATATCCCTCTCCCTCTTTTTCTCTCTCCTCAATATCTCTCTCTCTAAATCTTATATACAAGACCAAATTATTCTCTTCCCTTTTCAGTAACTTTCATGTAATTAACCTACCCACAACCTACTATTTCTCTCAAATCGTGAATCTTCTTTGGATATTGCTCCTGATTTTGTATCATCTTCAAAACCAACAATTGAGGTTTAGGTTTTGCTCAGTTCACCAGGGAATAATCATAAATATATGTTGAGTTAAAAAAAAAAAAAATCAGAACAAATTAATAAACCAAGAAATCAATTAAGGAATCCATTGGGTCTCTCTGAAAATTAATTAAGGTTTTAGATTTGGCAACATTTATTATTTATTTTATTTTTTTTGTTTCCAGAATTAATCATTTTTTTTCTTTTATTTATATATGTGTGCATATATTACGTTTAGCACAAGTTGAAGAAGCCGGTGGATTCCGGCAAGCAAAATTTGGGTATGAAAGTTACTGAAGAGGAAAGAGAAAATTTTGGTAAGAGAGAGAGGTTGAGAGGAGAGGGAAAGGGAGATGTGACAAACGATGTGTCTTAATGAATAACGTGTCCTAATATTAGCCTTCACATTAGTTTTGGAGAGAGCAGGAAAGAGATGTCCCAAGGAGAGGATCCTTATCCTGAGAAAAGTTAACTTATTTATTACATATATAATAATGAATATATTTGCATATGGATTTAAATAAATAAAAAAATATAAAATATATATGTCATGACCTGATATAATTTTATATAAACCTAATATACAGAGGCTCTCAAGAAGCACCCGCTTTCAAAATTTTTAGACTTAGACGCTTTCTCGCTCTCGCTTTCGCTCCTGCTCTGTGTGACTTAGGGCCTAACAATTCTGCCTACCTATTCAATCATAAGGGGATAAACCGATCACACAAGCAAAAAATGTCTCATTTGGTGAGAAAAAAAACAAAGAAAACAGGACATATGCAATTATTTGCCATAATTCTTTCCATTTTCCTTCTGTCTGTAAAAAACTTCACTACCTCTTGCTTCTCAACCCTGTTATATGCTTTGACTGAGAACTGATAACACATTTTAATTCTATAATGATAAAGTAACATGATGGCTCATATAGTGAGCCCAAGCACATAGATTTATCATAATTACAAAGGAACTGAGGCTGCTCTGGTACTTTTAAAGAGAGTGTAACAACATATTTCAAACAATAGCTATATCCAACTTACAAGAACTTGTCCTAAGGGGTCTAATTTTTAAACAAATGTTACATGATCGAGATCTACTTGCAGGTCTCGCACTTAAGATACCGAGGCTCAAATCCATTGCAAGGAGAAAAGACATTGTCAAAAAAGAGGGTTTTGGTAGAATTGATGTCATTACATGAACACAGCAAATTCGTATGTAAGAACTGGATGTCAAAATTTTAAGAAGCACCGAAAATTTTAAGACCTGAATGTTAACATAGGCCTAAAGCTCTCAAAGGAAATTTTTCTAATTCACAAACTAGAAGCATCCTCTTTGTTTCTCTTTTCTAATCCTTGCATCTAACCACTCTGTCAATAGAAAAGAGACTGTCAACATTAGGACCTGACCGGGGAGCCATTAAATGTAAGATCAGTGAGTTCTTCACATACTTAAGTTTAGACATTGTTGAGAAATGGAAATCATACAAAACAGTCATAAGGATTCAACATACTGCAGGAAGAAATCAAACAGCTATTCATGGCAGTTAAAATCAATAAACTTGCAAGACAAAGATGTTGAATGGTAAATCGCTTGGAAAGACTTTGATTGGAGTCGATTCATTCATTAGAATCAAATGACAATAACCAGTATTCACTCAGCACGCCCTTAAGAATCAGAAAATAATAAATAAATAAATAACATGGTTTTTTAAGCACGCCCTAAAGAATCAGAAAATAATAAATAAATAAATAAAAACTTGGTTTTTTTTAGAAGAATACAAGATGCAGCAGAAATGCAATTACACCCTACCTATGATAGGGAATAAGATCAATCAACTACAAAATAGCTGTGCTACTCTTTCTTTCTTTATCAATCTTCTCATACTTGCTCCTAGGCCCTAGCATATTTCCATTCCCACCACTCTACAAACTGCAGATATAGATGTTATAAGAACCAAACATTAAATTGATTCTATATGCTAACAATGGCAATAAATTGGCATGATGTAAGGTAGTTTTGTAATTCATATATAGCAAAGTCAATATCATGTAAATATCATACAATGATAAAAATAGAAATTATGATACTAAGTATAAATAATGGGAATTAAAAAACTTGCCTGCCTTCCTATTTTTCTTTGCTTCCTTCAGTATTCTCAACAAATGTTTCCTCCTCAATATTTCTTCTTCCTGTCCCTCTTTACATAAGGAAGTCTCCGGTTTTTTTTAGGTTTATTCAGACACTATGCTTGGTTCAATGAGACTTGATCTTTTCCATCAAGCAAAACAAGGCTCTCCATATAAGTATCCAAATGAAATGAGTGTGGAGACCAACGAATTCGAAGATTTACTTCTTGTTTGCTCTCAGGATCATATGAAACCACCCATTGGTCCTTTGCCACAAGAACTTCACCGGTTTTTCTAAATCCCAAAACCTCGTCTATTTCTCCTCCCAAATCAACAGTAAATAATTTCGTCCAAGACTCCATTACACCATACTCTTTCATCACCCATATGCAACATCTCTTACTTTCACCCGACGAAGCACCATCATAATGGAATAGAGACAGAAGTTCCCCAAAAAGTGAAATTGACATGTTCAAGTCAGGGCCATTAGCAACACTAGCTGGAGGCATCATTTCGCGGAAAACCTCAGAACCCATATCAAACGAGATAATCAAATGGCGATTTTGTTCCCTCCCCTTCTCAAATGCTACCCAATGACAAGCCCCTTTAACAAAAACATGCGAAGAACAACCGGAAATCTCGTTGCCATTCAGAGGAACAACAGCACTACTGACTCTCCACAAACCAGTGCTAAGCTCATAAACCTCAACCTGAGGTGGAACTGTGAAAGTATACACAATTCTCACAACCTTGAAGTCATTAGTCCAAGAATTGAATCCAAACCCAAGAACAAATACTTGAGTCGAGAATCCACTAGGGGGTAACGGAAGAATGAAGGACTTTCTAATTGCAGGGTTCCAAAGAATATGAACGCCTGAATAAGAAGAGAAATCGTCATACAAACAAATCAACCCATTACATGAACCCACTATTATGTGATCATCATGGAGTGGCCAAATTTTATAACTATTATCGAGTCTCATACATTCATCAAATGTTTCATCATCACAACGTATTAAGAAGCCCTCTTTGAAGTCGTGATCAGAGTGGTACATGAGGAGTAGTGATCGAGTCTTGTCGTCTGCAACAGTTTGATTGATGTGTGCCGTGAAATTAGGGTTCTTGATTAGAGCGTGAAATGATTTGCAAACGCATGTGGTTCGCACGATAATCTTGATCGGTAGTCTTGTGCAGATATCCGTCAAGAGTTCTTGTGGTAGCTTGTCGAAGAAGGACATCTTTACAATCTGATCTGATTGTCAAAACCCTAAAATTTGATAACCAAAATCCCCTTCAATGTGGTTTGGGTTTTGCAACTTTGACTTGGTGACATTTTATAGCGCTCTAAGACTCTGCATCATTTTTATTATAATTTATAACTATTATTTTATTATTATTATTATTCATTTTTATTATAACTATTATTATTATAATTTTTCTTTTTTTTTCTTTTTACCTTACCTAGAAATTCAAACATTTACATTGATCTTATGGAGTGTTTAACCATCTAGTCTTTATGATTATCTTGTATTCATTCATTAAAAAGTATCGTTAAAAATTCTTATATGCCCCTAAAAAAAAATTAATGTATATACCTATATATATATATATATATTTGGTCAGTAAATATTCCCTCATAAATACAAATGGAATTGGAATCTCTCACCTCTCCTTTAACCTTGCTTCTCAGCTCTTTTATAGGCATTGTTTGAGTGTAGTAGACACTATATTTTATAACAATGGCATCAAATAAATTTGATTGCATAATAATAATAGCCGATTTTTATTTTTTATTTTTAAAAATCAAAGGCTCTTGGCTTCATATCAAATTTGTGAGAGTCAATATGGGCTTGGGGTCAATATGGGCTTGGGGCTAGTGTTGGCGTTGGAATGGTATTGCTGGTCACTTGCTTTGTTTTTCTTCCTCACTCTTTTCCACTACAACTTCACCTATTTTTCTAATTCCCAAAACCTTTGTTTATTCTTCAAACATCAACGGTAAACAATTTGGTCCACCATCCTACTGCACCATATTATTTCATCACCCATATGCAACATTGCTTACTCGTAATCCAAAAGCATCATCAAATATTTAACATAAATGTATTACACAATTGCTACATCGCTATTACACTGGTGTCATATTTTATAATGTATCTGTGATGCAGATGAGTTGCACCAATGTACATAAATCTATTAACAATGAAAAATTATTAGATAGTCTTGACACTTGTAGACTAATTCAATCACGATTCTTACTGAGAAAGTGGCTTACAATAGTATATTAATATACTCATATTATAAAGAAATTTCAGTATTAATTTTTATTAGATTAATCCACCAAATTTCAAATGGTCTATGACAGTCTAATGATTTTCTTCTGAACAAGATGGATTCACATTCTACTAAGATCACCTAATTAAAGAGGGAAAAATGATAATACATCAGAAAATCAAATACATCCGAAATATTGATTTATCACATCTCTTCAAGCTCAACACCACCTTCGTGCAAAAAAACATTAAAATAATGAAATTAAGGAAGTTGAACGTATGCTTGGTTCACTTTCTGTTTTTTAAGGATAAAAATTTAAAAACAATACAAATTTTGGTTAACATTTTTTTCTTTTTTTTTTAAAGTTGAATTGAAAAAATAAAAAGACATGCTTTGAGAACGTTCTATTTCAGTTCCCTAAAAATTATTTTCGGAGTTCTTAGAAATTATAGCTACATAATTTTATTTTATTTTATTTTTTTTTTTTTTTTTTTTTTTTTTTTTTTTTTTTTGATAAGTAAAATTATTGCTACATAACTGAACAACATGGTCTGTTAAGTTTACTTCCAATTTGCTATGACAATCGACAACCATCATAAACTCATGCGATGTATTTAAGTCAATCCGATCATTAGATTTAGTAGCATCCTATCTTTAGTTAAGATAAGAAGTAATAATTTAGACTTATAAACAGAATTTTCATATCCCTATCTGCATTACTCAACCACCGGTCAGACTTTTCTTTTTATTTTTCTCCCCGATAAATTAGGAAAACTCAAACACGGGCACATCTACTCAGGGAGTTAAGTGCTTAGACTACTGAGTAATGCCCCGACTTTTCTTATCTTAGTATATCTGATTGACACACTGCCACTTAACCTTTAAATCGAGCTTCAAGACAACATCAACGTGGATTTTTACAATACTAAATCAGTGAGTATACTTTTCCTGAACAAAACAGAAGCCAATAATATGTTAAATCAAACTCCATCAGATGCAAAGCCAAACAATACGTTCTTATTCATGTTGTGAATGGCAACAACAGTTTATTTCTAGTCATTTGCGAAACAAATTAAAATCCAAGAATCAAAAATTAAATACAACAATAATTGAAGGTCCAACAAGCAGGAAAAAAAAAAAATAATAATGCCAATAAGCATACACTAAGAACACCCTAAAAAATATGAAAAGGATACGAAAAGAGGAAAAAATATGGTCTTTTAAAAGACTGCAAGATGCAGCAGAAATGTAATTCCTTCCCTACCCCTGATAGGGAATAAGATGGTTAACTACAAAAATAGCTGCTTTGACTCTTTCATCCATCTTCTCATACTTTCTCCTAGCATATTCCCATTTCAAAAACTCTAAGAACTGAATAGTAGTATAGTACCAAAATTAATCAAATTTTATATCACTAGATAAACAGAAATGAACAATGTGCAACCCTATCTGTCTTTACCAGTAAGAACCAAGCATTATATTGACTCTGTATGCTAACAATGGCAATAAATTGGCAATATGTAACGTTGTTTTGCAATTCATTTATAGCCTAGTCAAAATCATGGAAATATTATGCATGATTGCAAATAGGGATTATATAATAATAAGTATAAATAATGGAAAGTAAAAACCTTGCTTGCCTGCCTATTTTTCTTTGGTTCCTTCAGCATTCTTAACAGATGTTTCCTCCTCGACCTTTTTTCTTTCGAATTCACCCTTTTCAGAAAGATTATAGAACCAGTATTCTCGGTTCAATAAGCCTTGATCTTCTCGATCAAGTAAAACAAGGCTCTCCATATTAGAATCCAAATGAAGGGAGTATTTAGTCCAACGGATTCCAAGACTGACTTCTTGGTCGCACTCAGGATCATATGAAACCAGCCCTCCGTTACTCTTTGCCAAAACAACTTCACCAGTTTTTCTAAATCCCAAAACCTAGTCTATCTTTCTTCCTAAATCAACAGTAAATAATTTCGTCCAAGACTCCACTGAACCATACTCTTTCATCACCCATATGGGACATATATTATAGTAACTTCCATCTGACAAAACACCATCATCATAATGGAATAGAGACAGAGATTCCCCAAAAAATGAAATTGACAGATTCAACCCGCGGCCATTAGAAACACTAGCTGGAAGCATCATCTCGCCGAAAACCTCAGAATCCATATCAAACGACAAAATCAAATAGCGATTTTGTTCCTTCTCATGCTCAATTGCTACCCAATGCGAAGCCCCTTTCACAAAAACATGTGAACAATGGCGGGGATTAATAATCTCATACGGAGGAACAACAGCCCTACTACTTCTCCACAAATCAGTGCTAATCTCATAAACCTCAACCTCAGGATTAACTCTGTAAACATTCATGTCCGAATCCCAAAAATACACAATTCTCACGACCTTGAAGTCATTAGTACAAGAATTGAATCCAAACCCAATAACAAACTTATGAAGACGACCCGACAATGAACTAGGGGGCAACGGAACATGCAAGGTCTTTCTAATGGCTGGGTTCCAAATAATAACAACGCTACTATTAATAAAAAAAAATCGTCCGACAAACAAATCAGACCATTAATTGAACCTACAATCCTGTAATAACGGGGTGAACAGATACCAAAACAACTATCAAAACGTTATCGTAACGCATCGAGAAGTGCTCTTCCTCATCATGCTGAGAATGGTACCTGAGCAGTCGCAATTGAGTCTTCTTGTCCGCAATAGTTCGATTGATGTGTTCTGTGATGAATTTAGGGTTCTTGATTACTGCGTTCCATGATTTGCGAACGCATCTGATGAGCACGATGGTCTTGATCGGTAATTTTGTGCAGATATATTTGAAGAGTTCTTGAGGTAGCACGTCGAAGAAGGACATCGTTACCGTCTCATCTGATCGTCAAAACCCTCAAATTTGAGAACCAAAAATCCGCTTAATGTGTAGTCTAATCGTTTGCAACTTTAGAGTTGGTGGCGTTTTAATAGTGCTCTCACATCCGGATCTTCACGGTGAGAACACCGGTTCGGATTTGTTTGTTGGGCTGTTTGGCGACTGTGTTGTTGGGCTGTTTGTCAACTGTGTTGTTGGGCTGTTTGTCAACTGTGTTGTTTCCCCCAAAAGAGAACTAAGTGTTTTATTTAAATTATTTTAAATAGTGATCCGAAACATATTCGGTAAAATTCATTTCATGAAAATATATTTGATAAAAAGATTTTATACGTTTGAAAAACATAATAGGTAGTTTAAAAATATCATTTAAGAGAATATTGTTTATCACTATTACAATATCGTTATGATGCGAAAACATATCAAAACATCAAATTGATGCTTCAATTTTTGACAACTATTCACGAAACATTTTGGTATTGTGCAAAACAAAATAATTTTTACCAAATATATTTTTTCCACGGTTCATTACTACAATACCCAACAAAAATAAAAACACTAAAAACAAAATGCGTACAAGACAAATCTTAAATGTCGCACACAATTTTGATGAAGTTATTAAATATTATTCAATATTAAAAATCATTTAATCAAACTTCAAATCAAATAGTAAATTTGTAAGTAATTTTAAAAAAGATTTGAGGCAACAATCTGGAGAGGTTTCTTTAAAAAAAAAAAAAATTCTATTTCAACATGACTCAACAATTTCATACAGCTGAACATAGTCTAACTCTATATGCAAATACTCTGGAACCTTATTCAACTCTCTAGAGTCTATTAAATCTAAAATCATTTTTGACCTCTCCAAACAACATGCGATAAAGATTTCAAAAAAAGTTCAATACCCCAATTGAGAGAATATATTGGGAGAGTCAGCAAACCATGTCATCGATGGCTTGTCATCGATATGTCCAACTAATAAAAATTCTATCATATAATAAAATTAATCCTAGTATTTAAAATATAAAAAATAAAAACTGCTAAAAATTACTCCATCAAAATGATTTGTTAGATTTTCATTGATTAAACATACCTTAACGGCAGATGTCTCGATAGCCAGTGATTAGTGCCTTCGGTAAATTTTTTTGCATCTACTAATCTAAGTTATCTAACCCAGTGTTATAACTTCTCCATCCATAAAAATGAGAGAAAGGGTTTGAACCCAATATGAACAAAAAGTGTGCTTGAATGGAGTGAGTGCGGTTCTTGGAATTTGTCATAATACTTATGAGTAAACACAACTATGATGAATAATGAGGGACGAGGCCTTGCCTTTAAAAAATATCTCTAATTTTACTCTCTTTTTTTTAATAGCTAATTTTGCTCTTCAAATTTCTTTGATTCCTTCTTCAAATCTTTTTTTTTTTTCTCCCTCCAAAGTTCTCTCATTTTTCTTTTCTTATATTTCTACTTCTTCTTCTTCTTCTTTATTTTATTTTTAAAAATAAAAAAATTGGCAGGAAACTCAATATTGGTTCATAGTCAATAACATCTTCACCATCTAGAGTAATGATGAGTCGAAGAACCCCATGCATTGATGGGTAACAATTTGCCTTTATGGGACTTAAACTCTCTTCTTTCACTTTGAAACGTAGATGAAATATCACTGGGTTATAACACTATTGATATTTTTTTTCCCCTCTTCTTAAGATTCTTCTTTTTGCACCATGTATAATGTATGTGTTATTACCTTCTTCTTTTTGTCTTCTTTTTATTTAAAGTTTCACTGTAATTTTATATACTTGATGTTTATATTTTGTATTTTTTAATTTTTCTTTACTATAATTTTTGCAAGTAATGATGTACCATTTAAATCTCATGCTATTTGAATCTTGATTAATGTACCTTAATTGTACTTCTATTCTCACTCTTTGTTAATTGTCATGTTATTTAAAAAATAAAAAATAAAATCTGAAATCAAACTCCACCGGATGCGAAGCCAAGAATATGCTCTTATTCATGCTGCGAGTGGCAACAGCAGTTTATTTCTAGTCATCTGCGGTACAAATTAAAATCCAAGAAAGAAATCAAATACAACTATAATTGAAGGTCCAACAAGCAGAGTAGATTGGAGACAAATAGCCAACTTTATGTAAGAAATGTCATCATCAGGTACCAAGAATATAGCAATGATAACTAAATCATAAGAAAATTAATACAGTATAGTACAAGGGGCAATAAAGTTGTTAAATCAGATTTTCAAATAGAATTAGTAACCATTATCAATGACACAGCACCTGGATAGATAAATAAATAAATAATAAACATTGAACTACAAAACATTGTTACTTGATTATTCTACCAATACATGCTAAGGATGTTATGTGAATCAATGCAAATACCTTAAACTGAGGAGAAATTTTGAGCATTGAAATCCAAACTGAGGGGAGGAAATAGCATGGAAGAGCAGCACGAGATGATTATATGTTATATTCATCAAAACACCGATAACGAAAATAATATAAATATTTTCAGATACCGCTATACAATTTCAACTCATCTTTGCTCAATCAATACAAAACACCCATGCTTTGTAGCCCATTTGATATTTGCCTATCCAAGAATCAACAAATTCGACCTAAAACGAAAATAATACACATAATAATTTGTAATCCATATGACATATTAAGCAAAACATCAGCTACTGATGGTCAGAGATTATGCTAAGTGCAAACATAAACAGAATTGATGCATTTTTTCCCAAAATAAAGCTAATTGACTCCAACAAAGTGCAAATTTTAACTCGACCGTCTTTTCCACACGAGGTATTGGATAAATATCAATAACAAGAATGCCACTAATGAGTTACTTGGCCTGTGCATCTGTGTGTGTGTGAGTGCGTGTTTGTGAATGAAACGAAAAGATGGAGACACAATGCAAAGGGCACATGGCGCAGGGTTGAGTTTTGAGGTTCACAAAACGCCTGGCCAATGACAGGCAACGTATTGAGAAGTGCTATTCCTCGTCATGCTGAGAATGGTACCAAAAACTTTAGAGCAGAATGACAAAAAAGAAATCATTTAACTTATGCAAACATTGGGTTAATTTGAGCTAATTACATAGCCTGAATAATTGGGAAAGACTTTGGTGAGTCAATTTGAGCTTTTCAAACTACTTTCGCAAACATTGATTCAGATAAAAGAGCAACGCCGGTGAAATATATGAAAAATACCAAGAGCATCTAACATTTACAACATTGGAGAATCTGAAAATGAACACCGCACAACCCTATACATTTCTACAGATGTAGATGTTAAAAGAACAAAAGACTACCCCTTACATGCTTAACAATGGCAACAACTTTTGCTGGATGAAACATGCTGTGGTGCAAAGTTGAGTTTTTAAGTTTAAACATAGCAAGGTCAATCTCATCTCATGTATCCAAGGATAAAACAACAAAAATCAAGACAAGAAGTCCAAATATTGCGAAGTACCTTAACTCCATCCTCTTCTCCAAAATTTTCAGTAAGGGCATTACTGTTACATGCTCTTCCCATTAGTACTTCATTATTTCCTCAGAGTAAAACTAGGCTTTCCATGTAAGTATCCAAGTGAAGCGAGGATTTATAGCTACAGATTCCAATTTCAACCTCATCTTCACTCTTGGGATCATATGAAACCAGCTCTCCATCACTCTTTTCCACTAGAACTTCACCTGTTTTTCTAAATCCCAAAACCTTGTTTATTCCTCCTAGATCAACTGTGAACAATTTAGTCCACGAACCCTCTACACCATATTCTTTCATCACCCATATGCAACAACTCTTATCAGTACTCCAAATATTATCATCATAATGGAACAGAGAGAGAGATTCCCCAAAAAGTGCAATGGACAAATTCAGCTTACAGACATTAGCAACACTATCCGGAAGTATCATTTCGATGAAAACCTCACTACCCATATCAAATGACAAAATCAAATTCCTATTTTGTTCCACGCCCGGCTCAAATGCGACCCAATGTGAAGCCCCATTCACAAAAACATGTGACCAATGACCCATATTCGTGTAATATGGAGGAGCAGCAGAACCACTGCTTCTCCACACACCTGTGCTAAGCTCATAAACATCAACCTCGGGCCGAACTACAAAATCAAACGAATCGTGAAGATGAACAATTCTCACAACCTTGTAGTCATTAGTCCGAGAATCGAACCCAAACGCAAGAACAAACCCGTGTAGACCATGTGAGTCGTATGTAAAACGGGGCATCGGAAGTCTGACGGACTTTCGAACGGCTGGGTTCCACAGAATGATAACATTTGTAAACTCTTCTACACTCATGGCGAATAAATCATCGGACAAGCAAATTAAACCATTACATGAACCCACTATGCGGTAATAATAGTATTGGTACAGGTGGTAGCAATCAATAGGACAATCAAGTGTCAAGCACTCATCAAATGTTTCGTCATCGCAATGTACCGAGTAGTGCTCTTCTTCTCTGCCATACCCAGAATGATACCTGAGGAGTAGTAATGGAGTGGTGGTGTTTGCAATTGCTCGATTGATGTGTGTGGTGATGAAAATAGGGCTGTTGATTAGAGCGTACCATGTTTTGCAAACGCACCTGATTTGCAGGAGAGTCTTGATGGGTAGTCTTGTGAAGATGTCGACCAGGGTTTCTTGAGGTAGATAGTCCGACATGGTTGAACCTCTGATCGTAAAACCCTAAATTTTTATGCTTCTCTGCTCAAATGTAGTTTGGGGATTTGTGAAACTAAACGTTTCATTGGTGTAGTATAGGGTTAGCGGGTCCTCCCATTCGGATCATTTCATCTCTCGAAGAGTCATATTGCTAGAACAATGCTTGCCTTAAGACGCATCAGCAGAGATTGAAGGCCAAACATGCCATTTTTCTTGCCAAAATGAGGGTTTTTGGCAGATCTGTCAATATGGATTCCATGGTGGTTGTGTTGGGGACTGTAAGGGTGGCAACAATTGGGATTCGGTAGCGTGTTTAAGAGAGAGCCAAAGATGGTGAGGAGAGGACCGGCGGAGTAGACGACATGTTCTCTGCCGGCCCCGGAGACTTCGAAGCATAGAGAGAAGGGGCGTCAGATCTAACCATGCTTAGATTTAAAAAAAAAACTTTTAACTTTTATTTAACACGTGACCTTTTATTATTGGTCTAGGTCAACATTAGCGGGAATCATCTACTAATTTGGCCCAAGATAAGCTTTTTTCTGTTATTAATACGAATTTAGTTTGTAATTATAAAAAATAGTAAAATTATATTAAAAAAAAATATTTTGTTTAATTTTTTAAAAATTAGTTATAAAATTATAAAATAGTATTTTATGATTATCTGAGAACTAATTATAATTTCACGAATGGTTCAGAGTTACAGAACAAAATATATCCTGTAGATATTTTTCTTTCATTATGGAATAAATTTTTTTTAATGAATGCAATAATTTGAATAGGGAGACTAAATTATCCAGTTTTTTCAAAATTACTCCTACTTTCCAAAAAAATTAATAGACTGACATTTATCCATCTCTACTTGTCTCTCCCGCGTATGTCCTCTCCTCCTCTTTCACTCCCAAGACACCAATCTTCTCTCGGGGCAAACCCTACAATCTCACAATCAAACTGCTCTAGTGCTCCTTGTCCGAGCATTTAACTCCACAAAAATGTATAAAGCTTCTCCTTCTCCTCCTTCCAAACCATCAAAATTCACCAAGAAAATCCGAGAGCCGAACACTACAATTTCGACTCGTAAAACAGGTAATCTCGATTTTTAAGTTTGGTTTCAAAGAAATTGCAGGAAAAATAGTAAGCCCAATGAAAAACCCCTGAAATATCCACCTTAACGAGCCTAATTTAAAGTAGCTTGGTTTTGTTGGGGACCTGAATTATGTGTATATATATTTTCTGTTTAGTTTTCTTAGCAACCAAACAGAGGATTGGACCCAATTAGCTGGAAAAGTTGTTTTGTAATGTTATGGCCATGAATTCCCTACACCTACAGTTTGATTCCAAGTTACTTATTTGTTGTTTTAATTTGCTCAAACGGTGATTTTTAAGGTCCTATCAATCCTGCACACAGAAAGCAGAAGCTGAATTTGGAAGTTTCTCCTCACAGAGCTGATAATTTATTTATTTTATTTTATTTTTGGGGGTTTTCCTTGTTCATTGCCTTCTCGAAGTAATAGTTCCTTTTATCTGCTATATTGTTGGGTAGAGTGTGGGAGTATATTGTAGTTTTCTGATTTCTTGAATGCACTTTTTTTTTTTTGGCTGATACAGTGTCGGCAGTTAGGACCTTTAGGTTGATGCGCATAGAACTCGGTGGTGCTTTTGCTGTCTTGCTGACCTCTTGAATTGGAGCGGGAAGGGTTCGGGTGATAATGAAATGGCATATGTTGCAAGAACTCTTGGGCTTTGCACCCGTGCTTTGGATGATAGAGATCTCAGACTGGTTTTTCTCTTTACTTCCAATATCATATATTGTGCTTACACTTCTCCTTTCGGTGAAACTTGTATCTAGGATATGCTCCGTGGCTGCACCTTGCTTTATCATTGCATTTATCAGCAAAAGTAACATGGGATGAGATTATTAAAAATGATTTTTAAATCTTAAATATGGTAGGTGAAATGGCATGTAATAGAAAAGATAAAAGAGAGAATTCATGTGGTTGACCCCATTCAAAAAGGATTAAGGTAATGATAATGATGATGATCTAGTAGATAGAACAATTTTCATTTTTGGACAGGAGACTTGTTGGTATGGCATGCCTTTATTCCTAATTTGTTTGGGCACTAACCCTTTTCAAAAAAAAAATTTGTCATACAGGTGACAGACATTGTTGGAGGCACCATTCGTTGGAGAACATATCTTGATCAGTTGATTCTTTCATTATTCCTGATGAGAACACATATAGAAGCATAGAACCTCTTCTGTTACAGGTACATTTGCCTTGCAAGTAAAATAAATGGAATATTTTCATGGTTATATGGGGATGAATGTGAAAACTATTATTTTTTGAATTGCAAATTGTATGAGTAGATTGGCAGACATTTGACCATATGAGTTTACTGGCTATAGAACTATAACTTGTAATAGTGTTGTTTATGCTGCTCCTGTGATTAGTTATATTTGAATGGAGCTCTAAGGATAATTCTAATCAAGCTTAGAAACATTCTGACCGTCTAAAGATATATGGATTTGTATTCCAACTATGTCAGAAAATTGCCTGCTTCCATGTGTTAAAAACTTACTTCTTTATCCAATGACAGGCCTGCACAGTTGGTGAAAAAGTTTGGAAGTTGAATGTGCAGTGAACCTAAAGGTTCTATAGGTTGATTGTTGTTTAAGAGGATGAATTTTACACACTGGATGTTTCAGGCTTATTAAAATTGTAAAAAAATATCAGTTTTTTACCTTTGTTTCTAGATTCTTCGAATTGGTTTCTACGAGATTATCAAGCTACAAATGCCTCCATATGCCGTAGTGGATGAGGTAAATTTTTCTAGTTTGGTTTTATTCTCAGAATTTTTACTTAATGTTGTTCCTAAAAACAATCATAAAATTTGGAGCTTAAGTAGCAATCTTTGCTAAGATGGATAGTGTAAGTGGGATGTAAAATAACTCCTCAGTTTCAGGAAATTCACAGATTACAGGGTAGCCATGTATTGGTTTTAGAATCTGCCTTTCTGTCTCTTAACTAGGAATCTTCATCAATGACTGACTCAAATGATGGTTCTTAATGTTACACTTTCTTTTCTTTTTCTTTTTTGTTTTTTTTTTTTTTTTTTTAAAGTGAAAAATGAAAATGATGGTTACATATACCTGTTTGATTGTTTTATTTGGAACTCTCAGAAAGTATTCAGATGAACTTCATATTTTCTAAGTAGATCAAGTGCTGGGTGTTAATACCAAAAACTGGCTTCATCGTGTCCTTAGCATTGGTCCACTAACTTCTATTTCACCTGGGTTCCATACACCTTTTACATATTATGTTTTGCTAATCTTTTCTTGATTTTGTGTTTTGGGCACTAATGTTCATTATTATGTATGGTTGTTGCATGTATATCTTTAGAATGTAAGACTTGCAAAAGTTTCTCTGAGACCTGGTGCTGGTAACATGGTCAATGGGGTTCTCAGAAGACTAGTTTTGCTTTAATATATACTCATGAAGCATGACTAAGTGGCAACTACAATAGTTGTAATGACTGCCTTGTTCTTTTGAGTCTGCAGGAAAATAACTCCCTTCCTTTACCCAGAGTGGAAGGCAATGATCGTTCACAATCACGTGCTCTTGCCAAGCTTCATTCTCATCCAGTTTTAAGTTTGGTGTTGAATCTTTTTCTTCTATTTACAACTTCAAGGATAACTGGAGCTAATCATAGAGGTATCTATGACAAACGACCTGATTAATCCTTGGGTTTGTCCATGGAATTTATATATAGAAGAGAAAATTTATTCTTTTACTGTATTGTATTCCTTTTTTTTTTTTTTTTTTTCCCTCCTTTCCCCCAAATACCGAACATCTAAGTTTTTCAGATTTTTATAAAGTCTCAGGATTTGGTTCTATGATAGTTGTTAAAGGCACCGGCGCCTTGAATGCCTTAAGGCGACAGTGTTGTACCAGGCGAATGCCTTTTAGGCAAAGACGCAAGGCTACAGGCTACAGGCGCTGGAAAAATAGTTTTTTTTAAAAATTATTTTGTTATTATTTTGGTTGTGTAAGGTTTATTATTTGTTTATTGTTAGTTTTTATTTGTTTAGGGCAAATTATACAAACCACCCATGAGGTTTCTATATTGTGCATGTAGATAGAAGTTATAGCAATATTACAGAAAGGTCCATAATTTTAAGGTCAAAAGCATTATGATTTTTGGCATTGTGATGTTCCTTTCTACGCGAGAAACAGTGCAAAAAAGCATGAGAAGCTCCAGTCCCTCTACATTATTTTGTGTTTACTTAAGGCTCAGCTGAGCAAACAAAGGCTCATCTGCCGGAAAGCCAATATGAAAAGTTACAGTTATGACATGAACAGAGAGCAACAATTCACCACATCAATTTTCTCTGCAGCTCCAAGTCATGTTTTCCAAGCTTTGTCTTAGAAAAAGAAACACCTGATGAAAATCTGCGAGCTTTCTATTGCCAATATGGAAAATGATGTTGCAGAGGTATTAGCTCCAGGAGAAAAGTTTGTTACAGAAGTGGAAGATACATATACTGAAGTTGAATGCCACAATAATTTTCAAACAATGGTTGCTTCTACAATTGTTTCATAATTAATTAGCCATTTAGTAAGCATCCTTTGAGGGTAGAGGGTACAAATTCTTGCTTCACTTTCAAATTTTGAAGATTCTGTTCATACAAGAATGGCGAAGACTTCACAAGCAAGGAGAATCTCATTCATAGTGCATGTTTGGCTTTAACTTGTAATAGACATTTTTTCTTTTCTATTTTCAATGTAGAGTTTTTTATGGTCAAATGGTCAATATGATCTTTCTATAATATTTCTATAACTTCTATCTACATGCAAAATATAGAAACCTCATGGGTGATTTGTGTAATTTACCCATTTGTTTATTACAAAACCTATACAAGACCTACAAGTTACAAAACAAAAAAAAAAAACAAAAGAAAATAAAAGAAGAGACAGAGAAGTACACGAGTGAGTGAGTGACGAGCCTGATCTGCGAAGCCTGGGCTCTCGGATCAGCGATCTGCGTCTGCCGGTGCCGGTAAGTTCTCCTTCCCTCTCTTCTTCTTCTCTTCTTCTTCTCTCCTTCTTGCTTCTTCTTATGTTCTCGGATCTGCCGGAGGCCCGGATCTCTCAGTCTCAGAATTTTTTTTTTTTTTTTTCCTTCTTCTCTCGGCTCTCTCGGTTCTTGCTCTTCTTTTATTTTTTTATTTTTTTTATTTTTTTAATTTTTTTCTCTATTTTTTATTTCATTCTTCTTCTTCTCTCGGCTCTCTCGGCTCTTCTTTTATTTTTTTATTTTTTTTCCTCTATTCTTCTTCTCTCGGCTCTCTCTGCTCTTCTTTTATTTTTTTATTCCTCTGTTTTTATTTATGTTGGTCCTCTGTTTTTGTTTTTATTTTTATTTTTATGTTTGTCTAGATTAGTGCCTCACTGCCTTGCATGTGTTTGAACTTTGATGATCAATCTGTTTCTGTTTTATTGCTTGTCTCTGTTACTGCCGGTAATTATTTTTATGCTTGTCTCTGTTTCTGTTGATTTTGTTTACTCCTTATTAATCTGTTTAATAGAAATCGATCAATCACATACCCAAAAATGAAAAATAGAATCAATCATTCATGGTGCTTACTACTTACTGCTTATAGAAAATTAGATTTATTTGATTTGAAAATAGAGCACATCCTTGCAAGATAAATTCATAATTTCTATTTAATGCATCCAAACATGGTGCTTGCAGCTTGCAAAAACGTTTTATTCGTGCTTAATGAAAATTAGATTTGATTTGATTTAAAAATAATAATAGCACATCCATGTGTTATTTGCAAGATGAACTCAAATTTTCTATCAATTAATGCAGCATCCAAACATGGGATAAATATATATATATAAGTTGAGATCGAAATAATATATAAATAATATTCGGCTCTTTGCATCAACATTGCTTTTTTTTTATTTTTGCATGAAATAATTTTCTGCTTTTTGCATTTTGTCAAAGCTCTTTCTTTTTAAAAAAAAATTGAAATGTTAATATTGCTTTGAGGCTCTTATATTTTATTTTGTCAGAGTTGTTGCAGACACTGATTACATGATGCTATTATTTTGTTATTTTGAATTTGGTTGTAGTTTGTACTTTAAAAGATGCTTAGTGATGGTTCAAGAAAGGATCCGGCATGGAATTACTCACATTTGGAGAATCCGAAAGATACAAATGCCATCACTTGTAACTTTTGTGCAAAAGTTACAAAAGGAGGTATTTATCGGGCTAAGCAACACTTAGCTGGAGGGTATAGAAATGTGAGTGCATGCACAAGATGCCCATCTAGTGTTAGAGAAGAAATCAAAGAGTACATGAGTAAGAAAAAGGAAGAAAAAGATAAAATGAATTTGTTACCTAGTGATGACATTAATTTCATTGATGAAGAGGATGAGGATGACGTTATGGAAGTTAAAAATCGGGGAAAAAGGGTAGCTAGTGCAAGTAGTGGCAGTGCTAGTGTCAATTCCTCAAAGAGGCAAAAGCAAAAGGGATCGATTGATTTATATTTCACTCCCAGACCGGAAATTGTGGTACAAAAAAGAAAGGAGGGGGGAAAACAGACAACCATTAATGATGCATGCAAGAAAGAGTTGAGAAGAAGAGCGTGTGCTGCTTTTGCAAGGTGGATGTATGATGCAGGAATTGCATTCAATGCTGTTAAGTATGATAGCTTTGCCGAGGTTGTTGAAGCATTTGGACAATATGGTCCTGGCATGAAACCACCTAGTTATCATGAGGTGAAAGTTCCTTTGCTTAGAAAGGAATTGGATAATACCAATGCTTTGATGAATGACCATAGAGAGGAGTGGTCAAAATTTGGATGCTCATTAATGGCAGATGGGTGGACAGACAAGAGAGGGAGAACATTGCTTAATTTCCTAGTAAATAGTCGGAGGGGAACCATGTTTATTGAATCGATAGATACTTCTTCTTTTTCAAAGGATGGTGAAAAGATGTTTGACTTACTTAATAAATTTGTGAACCGCATTGGAGTAGCAAATGTCGTCCAAGTCGTCACAGATAGTGAATCAAGCAATAAGTATGCCGGTAAGAATGTTCAATGTTTATAACTTTTAGAGTTTACATTCTTTACAAATATATAATTTAAATCAATTTTGATTTACTCATTCTCTTTATATCACTTTTTCTTTTTTCCGTTTGGTTTCAAATAGGGAGGATGTTAGAGAAAGAACACCCACATTTGTATTGGACACCATGTGCTGCTCATTGCTTAGACTTGATGTTGGAAGACATTGGGAAAATACCGTCCATCTCTACAACAATGCAAAGGGCAGTTGAGTTGAATAGTTATATTTATATGCGTCCAAAGTTGTTGAACATTATGAAGAACTTTACTCACAAAAAGGAGTTGCTTAGGCCCGCTAAGACTCGATTTGCTACATGTTTCATCACATTATCAAGTATTCACAAGCAAAAGAATAATTTGAGAAAGATGTTTACTTCAGAAGAATGGAGTCGTAGTAAATGGGCGAAAGAGGAAGCCGGTAAAAGAGTTGCTTCTTATGTTTTGATGCCTTCCTTTTGGAACAACATTGTCTTTAGCCTTAAGGTTTCCGGTCCTCTTATTCCGGTTTTGAGATTAGTTGATGGCGAGAAAAAGCCTCCCATGGGATACATTTATGCGGCTATGGATAGGGCTAAAGAAGCCATTGCAAAATCATTTGGGGAAGTAGAAGACAAATACAAGGATATTTTTGAAATAATTGATAAGAGGTGGAATATTCAACTTCATCGCCCTTTGCATGCAGCAGGTTATTATTTGAACCCAGGATACTTTTATTCAAATCCGAAAATTGAAGAAGATGAAGACATTGCAAATGATTTGTATGCATGCATTGCAAGGTTAGTCCCAGATGTCAAAGACCAAGACAAAATTACTGAGGAGCTGTCCTTATATTCTAAAGCTGAGGGCCTCTTTGGTAATCCATTTGCTATTAGACAGAGAAGTACACGAGGACCAGGTAAAGTGGTAAAGTATATTAAGTTAGTATAGCTAAGTTTTAAAATTATTTTGACAATAGAGTCGATACAAAGATGAAGCTAAAGTTGCTAAACATCATTACTAATTTTTTTTAATAGCTAATTGGTGGGAAGCTTATGGCAAGTCAACAAAACTTCTCCAAAAGTTTGCTATAAAGGTTTTAAGCCTTACTTGCAGTTCTTCTGGTTGTGAACGAAATTGGAACATGTTTGAGCATGTAAGTATATACTATCTATTAACTAGGTTTATAATTTAATTGTTGAAAATTAAAATTTTAATTTTTTATACTTACTAGTTAAAGTTGAATTTATTGCAGCTTCATAACAAGAAAAGAAATAGGCTCGCTCAAACAAATTTGAATGATTTAGTGTTCATCAAATATAATAGAGCATTGAGGCGTCGATATAATATGCGTGACACTCTTGATCCCATTTTACTCGATGACATTGATGAGAGCAACAAGTGGTTGACGGGGAGGATGGATGATTCTGATGCATAACATGATCTAATCTTTGAAGATGATTCCTTGACATGGGGTGATGTTGCTAGTTTTGCTGGTATTGGAGAGGATAGCAGGCCGCACCGGTCTACTAGATCAAAATCTAGTTCTAGTTCACGGTTTCCAACAAGGGGAGCAGGAAGTTCTATCTCTACAGAAAATAAAGTTTATTGCGAAGTAGAATTTAGAAACACTTTATAGCCGGCATTAGTACTTTAGTTTTAGTCTTAACTTTTGTAAACTTCGGTAGCGGTTTGTTTATTTTGCTCATATAAATGAATGAGGTTTTAACTTGAAGTTGGAGCTTTAAACTGTGGTTGTAAACCCCCATTCACTTAGAGAGAGGACACGAACTCTGGTTAGGCACCGGCAAATGCTTTGCCAACTTTTCTTGTTGAATACAAGGGGCTAAGTGGATGTTCAAATCTTAATGTAGTCTATGTAAACTTGATCAGTTGGTTTACTGAAGGGGTAACATAATCCCATTTGATTTTCAATATAGTTCCAAAGTATGTTTTAGATTACACAATTAATGTAGTCTGAAGTAAATGGATTTGACTTTAATTTGTAATTATCATAAATTGGAGGTACAGTGATAGACAAGTAAAGCAAAACAATGTCAGTGTCTATGTTTACTTTCTCTCCATCTCTCATTCTACTTTCCTTTTCCATATTCTCTAGTGGATGGTGTGACGATGGAGAAAGTATCTTGGGCTTGAGGAAGCTATTACCTTGGGCTTGAGGAAGCTATTAAGTTGATGATGTGGAATAACAGTGATCCCAGTTATAGCCTCAGGTTTCTAATTACATTTTGTTAACAACCATTTACTCCAAAAGCTTAAGTTGTTAGAGAGGGTGTAACTTAAATATATAAATCCTTCAACACGCCCCCTCACGTGTGGCCTCTTTTTGGAACACATGTTTTTCAATATTTTAATTAGGGCGACGGTAAGGTTTGAATTCGAGACCTTTGGCTCTGACACCATGTTAACAACCATTTACTCCAAAAGCTTAAGCTGTTAGAGAGAGTGTAACTTAAATATATAAATCCTTCAACACATTTTACTTTATTTAGTATGCATATCAAAAAAATCTCATAGTCTTGTCATCTAATTCCAATATCAGGGCAAACAGTGGGAAAGGTTTCACAAGAGCCAACCTTGTGATGCGGCTCGAAACATTGAAGGTGCTTGATTAATGTCTGTATTGGTTTGGTTATCGGATATTTAATTTTTTTGGTCTCTCTCCATTCCTCATAGACGCATGGCCACCCCACTCAGCACATGTTGCCATTTCATACACATAGTACACGTATAATCCATGCACATACTATGATATATGTATTTATTCCTGTCAAAATCAAAAAGTATATATATTTATGGAGTATTACTATTTGTATATTCACGCACATCTCCCTCTCTCTCTCCCTTTCTTCTCTCTAAAAATAAATATGAAAATTTTATGCATATGTTTGTAGCCAACCACAAATAGTTTGGGGAAAGGATTTGTTGAGTTGAATTGAGTATGCATGCCTGTATTTTACTATGAATTAATGCATGATTTTTATGTATATATTTATTTATTTATTCATATGCTTGCCGTATACATGATATTTATGTACTTTTTGCTTATGTTCATAGCCTCGATTTGGGTTGATGAAATGAAGTCCGGGCTAATAGGACTGAAGATAGCCAACAAGTCAATATATTGGACATAAAAAATATGACAGTCTTGCTTGGTGAATTAACTCTCTATCAGAAGTCAAGACCCCTACATTTTATTTGTAAAAATATATTGTTAATGAAATTGATTTGGCTTCCTGATTGGTGACAATGTTGGAGTGTTTGCCCAGGTAATTGTTGTTGCAATTTCTCATCCAAGAGACAGGTCATCAGTAATTAAGTATCCTGAACATATGACAGTCTTTTTGTGTGGGGTGGTCTGAATATATTCTGTATGTATTGTCCTTCAATTGTAGTTAAAAGGAGTTAGTGGACATGGAAAATTTGTGTTTCCAACCATGAGAATCCAAAAATTGCATAGATAAATATATTGAAGTAGAATAAGATGAAGTGACGCATAGATGAAAACAGATTGGATGCAAAGGGTACTTAAAACACTTGGTGAATAATATTAGGCATTTAATCCAATAAATCTGATATACTATTATGTTCCACTTCTTGAAACTAAGAGGAGGTGAATTCATGATACAGAGATGAGATTTAGATATAAATTTGCGCCAAGTGAGAGCTAGATTAGGGAAAGTCCTAGGGATTCTTCTGTTCACGGGCAATGGAAGGCATGATATGTATGAAAAGGAACATACAATTTTCCCAAAAAAATTATGTAGGAAAAAGGTAAAGTAATATGGTTCAAGTTTAAATTGTGAGAAGAAAAAGTTTAATGACAAGATAAAGGCCAAAAGAAAATCATATGAGGTTGTCATGTGAACAACTTTTTTCTTTTTCACAAGATTTTTATTTCATTGGGTAAACATAATGAAATAAACTGTTGCAATCCACGCTTTTCCCTATTGAAATGTTTGCACTGTTAGTATTAGTTCAACGTCTCTTATTTATAATAGAAATATCCCTGTTACAACTAATAACTAGTCGTGGTCATGCCTTACTGTAATGGTATACTTGTGCTCACATATTTATTTTCTTTTCTTGAAATTCAGGTCCCATATGAACTTTCTTCCCATTTGGATGATTTTGTTTGTTTCAGAACTGGGATGCAGGTATTGGTGTAACATAGCCCTTTCAAGTATTCTCAGGTTTATTTCTGCTGTTGAGCAAGAATATCTCACTGCTATATATTCAACACTTGTCGGTCCTATCTGCTTGCTACTTGAGTTTCTATTTACCTATCATTAAGTGAAAAGGAGAAAAAAATCTTACATTTGTTGCTTCTGCATGAGACATGAACAACAAATATGGAATGCAGGTGAATAAAAAATTTCCTTGTATTCTCCCTGAAGATTTGAATTCTTGAATTTATGTTAAGTCCAGGATGAAAGTTCAGGTCAACTTCCTCTTGTTCTTGTTCTTCTTTTATTTATTTATTTATTATATTTATTTATAAATATTATTAGAATTGAGTATAGAATCATCCGTTGGGCCAAACACTATGGAATAATATTTTGCTTCTCCATGCTCGAGTAGTGGGATTTGTTTTTAGGTCAGCCATGTAGGTCAGTACATCATGCACAGGTGGTATGAACGTTTTTGTAAAATTCATACTCCCCCGCCCTCGGCCACCCACCCCCCCCCCCCCCCCCCCCCCCCGCGCGCGCCCCTTGCCCCCACTTGTTGGCAACTCCTTTGTGAGTCTTTTATCATGTTAACCTCTGCTTGACCAGCTAAGAGATTTGGATAGAGCAACAATGATCTGTTTTAAATGGATATGAGCTGTAATCTTGTGTTGTATCCATATATGGTGTCTCTGAGAGGTAAAAAATAACTAAAACTAAGGGTTTTGCAATGCAGAAGGGGTTGTGAAAATGTCTCAGTTAGTAAGACCTAGAGGGTGTGAAAAGGTCTAGTTTTCTCTTTTTGCTTGCTTTTAACTTAATTCGATTTTTAGTGAATTATATTGCAATTCAACAGACCAACACACAACAACAACTAAAAATGAAGAGCAAGGGGGAGAGAGAAGAGGGGACATCGGGACTATTAAGTGGAAACCTCAGCAAGGAAAAACACAAAGAGTAGCTATCTCAGGTGAACGATCCACTATATTTTGAAAGATACAACGAGCTACAGTGCCTTTGGAATTACCAACAACTTACAATGGGCCGTTTCTCAGAGTGATCACTTGCTTTCTCCTTCCACTACTGTCCAAAGAAACTGGATAAACTGCTGCTCTGATTGTCTTAGATGAACTTGGTAGGAGGGCTCAGATTCTAACGGGCATTATAGAACACACGCAAACTAACTATAGTGCAAAAGTGTGTGAATAAAATGAAAAAACACAGGAGAAGCTCAGCTGGTTTTCTTTTGCAAAGAAACTGGATAAACTGCTGCTCTGATTGTCTTAGATGAACTTGGTAGGAGGGCTCGGATTCTAACGGGCATTATAGAACACACGCAGACTAACTCTAGTGCAAAAGTGTGTGAATAAAATGAATAAACACAGGAGAAGCTCAGCTGGTTTTCTTTTTCTCTCTAAAAGCTAGCAGATTTTTAATTTAATTTCTTTGACTAAATAAGGTCAAACCCTAGTATTTATAAACAAAAAGTCTTTGAATTTGTAACGTAATTGTCTTGTAAAAACATTGGATAAGTAAGAGTTGGGTCGTGTAAGGATTGGAACAGTGAAACTACTCGCTGGACTAAGTTACACTTGTGAAAGTAAAAGTTAGATTGGTGCAACTGCTGACTGGGTTTAGAACACGTTTTAGGCAGAAGAGAGCTAGACTGGTGCATGCACAAGGTCCACTGGTGCAAGTGCAAGTGCTCCCACCAATATACTTACCTGTTCCTATAGTGTTTGTTCCAAGTTGATGAAGCTTCAATTTGATGAACCCGAACCTCTGGATCATGAAGCTGTCCAACAAAGACCCAAAAAGAAAATTAGACCTCAACATGATTTTGGACCGAAATATGCCAGCACACAACTATGTTTCTAACAACTTTTTTCCACCTATGTTTCTAACAACTTTTTTTTACACACTATTCATGTTTTGTGCTAATATACTAGTTCTGTTTTTTATTTCCATTCAAGAGGTGAATAATTTGGTCTGCCATGATTCCCTAACACACGTATTTTTAATCGTAGTGCAGGTTTGGTCGTTTCTGTTGTAGATCCACAACCTGGTGAGAGCATTATTGATTGATGTGCTGCTCCTGGAGGGAAGACCCTTTTCATGGCATCCCTTTTGAATGGCCAAGGTAATTTTTGAACAAGGAAACATCATTCCTGTTTAAAGACCCTTGTTGGCTTTCTACAGAAAAGCAAAAACTATAATAAGTTTTCTAATATTGCTTAGAAATGTGACATATATATCACCAAAAGATTCCATCCACATCTGTTACTTATAAAAAATAAAAAATAAAAAAGAAAAGAAAAGAAAAAAAAAAAGTAAAAAAGATGATGGTGTTCAAATCTTATTCTTTATCTGGTGAACCAGATTTTGTTGGAACCTAATGGTATAACATCATTCATTTTATGGATAGTTGTAGTGAAGTGCTGAGAATGATGATGATGTTCATAGTTCTTGTTTGCTTGGTGACTTAGTTGAGCAGTTTTGGGTTTTTGAGTAATATTGAATACGCTTTGTGGGTTCGCAGTAAGGTATCTGCAATTGACATAAACGAAGGCCGGTTGAGAATCCTTAGAGAGACAGCCAAGTTGCTCCAAGTTGATGATATCGTCACCACCATTAATGCTGTTCTTCATAGATTTGTTGTAAGTAATTACTGACATAGAAAATGAGGAGGGAGTATTTTTGGAACATGTAGCACCTGAGTTCTTTCTTCTTTCTTACCATCTGTCAGGACAATGATCGGGTAAAGTTTGATCATGGTTGTTAAATTAGAATTGAGCGATTTTACGATCCAACGTGTCCGAATCCCATAAAAATCTTAGCTTGTGCAAAATCGCTGGGATGTGGGTAGAATCGTGGGATCGTAAGCCATTCTAAATTACTCCATGTTTGTGGTCTTGTTTTGGGTTTAATAGTTGGCAGAAATAGAAGAAGCCCTAAATCGATTAGCACAGTGCCACAATTCCTTCTCTTTCACGGCCTCCAGCACAACTCCGACGAAGAGATAAATGCCCGAGGAAAAATAGAAAAAAAAAAGGGTGGCTAAGGTTTCGGTGATGAAGAAGAAGCAGAAGAGGAGGAGAGAGAGGGAACGAGAGACTAAGAGAGCTTACCTGAGAAAGACGAGAGGAGCTGCTGGCTGCCGCTGATCTCAACAGGGGAACAGGGGAATTTGGTTCGCCGACATCGCAACAGGGGAATTTTACTCTCTTCATCTGTTGCTATGGTCTTGTCCAACCAGATTGGTCTTGTGTCTTGTCATTTTCTTGTGTTTTCTTTGTTCTATTTTACAGCTGGGCCTGATGGGCTTGGCAAACTTCAAGTTTCTGAAGCCCAATGTAATATTTGCATTTATATAAAATTTGTCTTACCTTCCAAAAAAAATATTAAAAAATAAAAAAATAAAAATTTAAAAGAATCTATTTGAATATTTTTATTTGAACTTATCCTTTATATATATATACATACACACACACAATGTACTTATATATATATATATATATATATATATATATATATATATATATATATATATATATTGTGTTTTTGGCTCATTTTCTATTTATTTTGAATATAATTTTTGTTGAGAAAGTTAGTTTGAGTTGTATTTTTATTAGTTTGGTAGAATATTATGATTTACGATCCGACGGAACCCAAAACGATTCTACCTAGAATCCCTTTTAACAACCTTGAGTTCAATAAAGTTTTGCTGGATGCTGCATGTTTTGGACTGGGTGTTCTCTCCAAGGTATCCACAACTCTGCACAAGGACACCTGCATCGTCTCTTAAGTATTTGTTTGTAGAAAATTCCAACAACATTGGGGAGTTTTTCCCCTATGGTTTGCGCTCATCTTTCCAATTTTTCTTTCAAAATGAAGCTAGTCGGGCTATTTGAATCTTATACTTCTTCTTCTAGTTATTGAAGAGAGCAGACTTGCGTTGGAATAGGAGATCAGAAGATTTGGAACAGCTTAAGGATTTTCAAGATGAACTTCTTGATGCAGCTTCCATGTGAGACCATCTAGTCTCCTTCGCTGATGTTTTATTTTATTCTTCATAATTATTGAAGAGGGAAGAGATTATCATAATTTATATTTCTGGCGAATCGTTTTTTCCTTTCTACTAATATCGTGTTTGTAGGTTGGTAAAGCCTGGCGGAGTTCTGGTATACAGTACATGTTCAATTGATCCTGAAGAGAATGAAGAGAGGGTGGTTGCATTCCTTATTAGACATCCAGTAAGAGTTATCATGCTCAATCTTTAAAATGCTTTATTTCATGTGTTCACTTTGCTTAATTGTAGGCCCTCTGAAAAAAAAAAAAAAAAAATTCATTCAGGATGAGGTTCCATGGTGTGTATTATTGCTGATAATAATGTTTTGATTTATGAAATAAGTGCTACATTTGAACTCTAGAGAGCTTCAGAATAAAGAGGGTATAAGATAAGTAGGACCATAACTGAATATGTGGAATGTAACCAAGATAGGATGTTGGGATAGATGTGAAGGATAAAAATAGAAATGAACACACTTATGAGGTTGAATTAGTACCCATTGGAGATAAAACGAGAGAAAATTGACTATGAGGTGGTTTGGTCATGTGTGATGAAGTCTAATGACTGCACCGCTAAGGAAGGGGAACATGGTCCGCATTGAAAATAATGCTATGAGAATGAAGAGTGAATTGAATTGACATAATTGAGAAGGTTAATATATATGTGTGTGTGTGATAGCATGTGGTTTGATTGAACTTATGACATTGGATAGAGTAAAATGGCGGAATAGGATTATTTTAGTCAATCCCTAATAGTGGAGAGAGAGTTTTATGGAGTAGAGCTGTGAAATCAATTTTTGAGGATTAAATGGAACTTATTTTCAGATCTACTTTGTATATGATGGAAGTCAAATGCTTAAATGGGAAAGCGCGCACATGAATATTACGGAAGTACACAAAAATTACAAATCAATAGATGTTCTGGAGTAAATTTGTTAATGTGCCTCAGGTATTTTTGTGTTCTTGATACATCACTCAGCTTATTACTTGTACCACAAGAAAATTTTGTTGATGAGTGAACCGTACCTCCTTGTTTGTGATGTGGTATAGTGAGTTTTCTATCTGGCTTTAATATTTTTATATAGAATTAAGAATGTGAGGTTAATGTAGTGCTTCTGACATATTTTAATTATTTTATATGTTCACGAATTCAACTTAGATCCTGCTGACAGATATGTACCACCACATTTTGTCACAAAACGTGGTTTCTATTTCTCTAACGCTGAGAAGCATTCAGTTGATGGAGCCTTTGCAGCTCGTCTTGTTCTATCTTCTTAAAACAAAATGTAAGTGAACCAATGCTCAATATTTTATTTGAGTTGTTCAAAGTGTCTAGAGAAGCCATTCAGTTAACAAATAACTGGGGAAGTAACATGGTGATTAAGCATTCAGCAAAACTTTTCTTTCAACCTACAAAATGGGGTTACTTTTCACTTAACCCAAAATTTATGATTAAGCATTCTGCATTCAGCTCGTCTTGTTCTATCTTCTTAAAACAAAATGTAAGTGGACCAATGCTCAATATTTTATTTGAGTTGTTCAAAGTGTCTAGAGAAGCCATTCAGTTAACAAATAACTGGGGAAGTAACATGGTGATTAAGCATTCAGCAAAACTTTTCTTTCAACCTCCAAAATGGGGTTACTTTTCACTTAACCCAAAATTTATGATTCAGCATTCAGCATTCAGCTCGTCTTGTTCTATCTTCTTAAAACAAAATGTAAGTGAACCAATGCTCAATATTTTATTTGAGTTGTTCAAAGTGTCTAGAGAAGCCATTCAGTTAACAAATAACTGGGGAAGTAACATGTTGATTAAGCATTCAGCAAAACTTTTCTTTCAACCTCCAAAATGGGGTTACTTTTCACTTAACCCAAAATTTATGATGTTGGATGAATTACTTTATTCCACTTCAACAGAATAATTGCTTGAGGTTATTAAATTGGTATGTGTTCTGAATGTTACAGGTATAATTTCTTGAAGTTGCTTCCAGACACACCCAGTTCCTGGTAGAAAGTCCGTTTCACAGGCAACATGCTCTCTCCTTTATGATTCCCTTAACAGAAACTCCCTTTACAATTGGGGTGTGATGAAAACCCTCTTAAACTTATTGAGAAGACAGATGACTGAGCAGCACAAGTGGAAAAAGGGTTAACATGGGACAAACTATGCTTTACATGAATGCAGATCCTGTGAGTATGCAATAATGGGATCCAGAATGAGAGTCGGACGTGATCTGATATCCTAGAGCATTTCAGATTGATAAACTCAGTTCCAATCAATTCCGACGATAAGACACTGGAGCTGCTCCAGGACAACACCAGTTGGGATCATTGATGGATCAGATCAGTGAACTATTTATGTTATTGGTTTGTGTCTATGCAAAAACCTATATAGTTTTACTGATTTTGTGTAGTTTAATGTATTCTTTTATAACCTTTGTAGCATTTCCATGACTGTGATGCAAGTCTTCGTCGAACTAATATTGGACTCATTTGATTCTTTGTATCCTGCAGAAGCTCAGCTTGGTAAATGAATTAGAAACTTCGGATTTGTGAATCTCTGCCGATTATCTTTGGATTTTGCTAAATCTATTTTCTGATTAAATAATTGCATTTCTGGAAATTTTCTTGAGAGCAGAATATGTGGAATTTTTTTTTTTTTTTTGCATTTGAATGTTTTGATTGTGCAGGAACAAAATAAAAAATGTGAAAATTACAAGTCTTTTTAGTCATCGTTTATCACTTGTGAGGTGCAATTTCTTTATCTGAACAGATCTTGAAGATTGATGTTTTCTAGTTTTTGGTCTCAACTTTCAAGCTTGTTCTCTGATTCTTTTTCTCACCAAATAAAGGGCGCTTCTGAACTGTGCACTTGACCCGAGAACCTTATATTTGTGGAATGGGAAATTCAAAATTAATGATTCCTTGTACTTTTAATAATATATACAAGTATAGATATAGATTAATTAATATATATATATATATATATATATTAATAATAGTGTAGATATATTATTTATAAATTAATGGCTTGAAATACTCTAACTTCTTGTTTTATTTTAGTTGAACTTTGCTTATTGGTATTTTAATATTTTATTTTGGTTTAGTTGGACTTTGTTTATTGGAATCCTTATTTTATTTTGGTTTCCTTGTTGGTATTTAGTTGGATTTTGTTTATTAATATTTTATTTTGATTTCTTTATTGATATTTTAGTTGGACTTTGGTTATTAATATTTTATTTAAATTATATTATTAAATTCAGGGCTCGTTAATATTAGAGGAAAATACCAATTGGATTTTCAATTTTAAATTCTTCTAATAATTTTTATTTCCTAGAATGACAACTTTTTAATTATTTTATTAATAAATTAATTGAAAATTCAATTGGTATTTTACTTTAATATGAATCCCAAGTGCTATAGAAAACCCAATTAAAAAGACAATTTTTTATTTTATTTATAAAATAATGATCCCTTGTACTTTTAATATTATATATATATATATATATATATATATATATTAATATATAATATCTATATACTATTATTAAAAGTGCAAAGAATTTCGGTGTTTCAGTATTTATTTATTAATATAAAAAATATTTATTAATTGATATAAAAAATAGTTTTTATAAAAAGAGATATTTATTAATTGATATAAAAAGATTTTTTATATAAAAAAATTACCTAAAAATTTATTTAAAGAGTTTAATTCAAATTACAAATTACCTAATAAATATTTATTTCTATTTGTTTCTAAAAAAATATTTATTAATTGAGACTTTCTATCAAATTCTAACACAAAATAAAATAAAATAAATTCTTAATTGATATAAAAAGAGTTTTTATAAAAAAAATTTCTATAAAAATCCAACACAAGTTACCTATTTATTTATTTATTTCTTAAAAAATATTAATATTTATTAATTAATATAAAAATAATTTAACAAATTACAAATTACCAAATAAAATTCAACTAAAACTCAATCTGTCAATCACTACTTTCCAATTACCTAATAAAATTCAAATTACAAATTGCACAACTCAAACTCTACCACCAATTATTTTTAACACTCTCTCTCTCTCTCTCTCTCTATATTATATCTACCAACCTCAGAACTCCCTCTCAATCATATTGTTTTTATGTCTCTCCTGCGACTTGGATGAGGTAACTATTACTCTCCATTCTTCTAATTAGTCAATGAGGCTGTTGCTTCGAATTCATCAATTTAGCAACTTGTAAATCTTTATGGAACTGATTGATATCAATCTTCTTCTTTTTTATTACTATTTTTTTCACATAATTCACAATCCATGTTTTTTTCGTTCTATGAGATCTTAGAAATATTATTAATCAATTTTTCAGTCAGTTATATGATGGGTGAAATTGAATAATTGAATTTGAGAATGTTACACCTGATTCTCCCAATTGCCCACCCTATTTGGTCCTTGCTTTCTTTCAATCACACACAATTGCTTTATAAAAATAAAAATTATAAAAATCACATCAATTCTTCAATTTTAACAATTATTCTTCAATCTAGCAGTTGGTAACCCTATTGGTCCTTTGCTTTGTTATGTTTCAATCCCAAAATTGCTTGCTTTGTTTTTTTATGGGTTGTGGTTACATTGAACGTTTTCTATTACAATAATTCTTCAATTATTATTTTTTTTTATTTTTATGTAAACTTTATAAATTGGTTATGTATTTAAATTTTTTTATTTATTACTTTTTACTTTAATCTTGGCCTTTTTTGAATAAGCCAATTCATTTGAACCCTGCGGATCTACTCTTTCTTATTTAAAGATCGGCCCTTTGTCTCTTTATGATTCTTGTTTGATTCTAAGGTTGAATTGTTTTTTAACTTTGTAATCTCTGTCTCCAGATTCTAGCTTCTTGATAGACTCTTATTGGTGTTGAAGACATCTATTTTTGTTTACATTATCGGAGCTTTGAGGTTAGAATTTTGATTATCTTGATTTTATAATTTCTGATCTTGTGAGTTGTTGTCTAACTTGATCAAATATGGGTTGTAAAGAATTTAATTATTTAAATCTCTTTCTATGTGTGTGTGTGTGTGTATGACTTGGCTAAACTTAAATATCTTTATTATTCTTGTTTGCTTCTAAGGTATATAAGTTATTTTATTTATTCTTGAAACCAGTAAGTTTTTGAAACCAGTAAGTTTTTAAGATGTTACTTTGAGTTCTAACAGGATTTTCTCCCAGATATCCCAAGACATTTGAAAATTACTCTGTTTTTTTTCTTTTTTTGGTCTATATCTAATCATTTGGCTTGGCCATTCTTTGTTTTGTGATATATATATGAATTTGAGCTTGTTATTGAATTTAAAGTTCATTCTTTCATTATTCACAGTTATGTTCTGCCTTTTGATTGATTAAATTTAATTATAAATTTTTTTTGATTAAATTTGAACATTGTTATCGTTCTCTCAATATAATAAATTTAATTGATAACAAATTTGCCAAATTTTGGTTTAAAAAGAAGCTTTGAGTTTTTTTCCTACTAAATTTTCCTCTAAAAGTTTCTAGTAAAATTTGAGATCAAGCAATAGTCATAACCTTTGGGTTACTGATTGCTAAATTTTTAAATTTAGCAAAAAAATTTATAGAATTTTGCTTATTGTATTTTTAATAGTATTTTATTTTACTTTAATTGGACTTTGTTTATTGGCATCCTAATTTTATTTTGGTTTCCTTATTGGTAATTTAGTTGGACTTTGTTTATTACTCGTAATATTTAATTTTGGTTTTCTTATTGGTATTTTAGTTGGACTTTACTTATTAATATTTAATGTAAATTATCTTATTAAATTCATGGTTCAACCTGCGGACTTCTGGCTTCTTCGCGATTCCTTTCTAAAGTCGCTTTATTGGTAGTTTAGTCGGAATGAGGTGATCTCAACCAAAGGTTTCAATATTCCGTTGGGTTGGGCAGGCACATTATTTGAAGCCTCGGCCTGGCCATTGCTATTATCAATTGATTCCGCCAGTTCTCACTTGGTCTTCTCGGCGCTATCAATTAGGCAATAGAATGGGAAAGACGATAAAACGAAGAAAGCTAGGAATTGAAGGTGATAGGTCAACTCTTCCATGGGAAATCGTATACAATACACTCTCGAAACTACTTGTCAAGTCTCTGTTGCAATTTAGGTGCGTTTGTAAATCATGGCGTGATGAAATTTCTGAACTCCAATTTACAAGATCACATCTCAATAAATCAATAAAGTTGGACCGTCAAAGTATCTTTATGTGGGACAGATTGATAGCCAGGTCCAGAGATTTAAACTACATATGCTATGACTGCTGCGATGGTTCAAAGAAAAAACTATGCTTTCCGCGTAAGAAGTATAGGGATGCTAGAGTGGTGGGTTCTTGTAATGGTATATTACTGTTGTGGCTTCAAAAGGACAATATGTGTGTACTGTGGAATCCATCCACTAGGGCATACAAGAAGTTCTCATGTCATATATATGAACATTATGCACCACGTGGACTTTGCTATGATTCTTCCACGGATGATTACAAGGTGTTGTTTTTCCGTAGGGACTACTTTGTGGTTTTCAGTTTCAGAGGTCAATGCTGGACAGAGCCTAAGCACTGCGGGTATAAGGGTTTTCACTATAATCGTGTCATTGATCAACAAGGGTTTAAAAGCAACCATGTGTAACAATCCATAAATGCTGACCATAACGATTATGACTATGTGATTGTTTACTTTAATATGGTGGATGAGACGTTCAAGGAGATACCACCACCAAATTGTATAAAAGCTGGAGATATATTTGATTTGGCGGTTCTTAAAGGATGCCTCAGTTTGTATTCTACTACCATTGATAAGAACTATGTTGAGGTGTGGACTATGGAGCAATATGGTGAGCATAATTCTTGGACTAAGTTCATTGTCATCCCACATAGGATTGGACAATGTTTTACAGACACAATGCCTATAGATAATTTGAGACCATTGTGTGCTACGAAGAAAGGTGGAATTGTGATGCTACTTGATAACATGATTATAGTCATCTATAATCCTAAAAACAACAGGTGCACTCGTCTTGGAGGAATAGATTTTCACGATTCAAATCTGGCCTTGTATGCGGATAGCTTCGATTTGCCCATTCGAACTACTCAAGCAAAAGGAAAGAGGAAAAAACAATTGTAAGGAGGTAAATCAAATAATCTCTATTTTTCTAGCTTCTCTTCAATTTTTAAGCTAATTCATGTCTTTCTATTGTTATGTTTTTCTTACCTTTCCTATGTATATATATATATACACACACACACACTAGATAAAAAGGACGTGATTTCGAATAAAAATAATATTATACCATTTTTTCCTTTGTTTAAATGATAAAAGAAAATTTTATTTTATTGTCAAATATGCTCCAAAATTACATCAAATACATAATATAACTCAAATATAAAATTTAGGGTAAATAACAATAAACCCCCCTCAATTATGGGCCGAAATGCAATAAACCCTCCTAAAGTACAAAAACTGCAATTAATCCCCTGAACTATGCGACTTGGTTG